TTTAGTAACTCGTGTGAAACTGTTTCAACTTCAAGAAAAATGATGAAGAAAAAATGTTAAAGCTAAAAGGGGAGGTTACGGACGTGGATTCACCAATTTCAATGAGAATTTTGTGATACTGGGTCAAAAATATAAGCCTCAATATATAAAAATGTCCAAAAGATTCTTGCCAATGCCCTGAGGGCAGAAACAAAATATTTTATAATAGTTTATTATTTTTTTACATTACTGTATTCCGATTTTGTTCTGCATGGATTTCTAATCTATTATATATATTGATTTGTTTTTTTGTGTAATATAAGAAAAAAATAGTGCTAATTGCATTTAACGAATTCTAATGTATAATAAATTAAAAAAAAAAGACTTAAAGTAAAGTAGGCCAAACAAATTTTTGTCATGAACAATTGATTCAGATTCGTTTTCAGCATCCACTTACTTAAATTCTTAAATACAAGTTTGCTTTATAATAGAAAAAGCCATTTGAAAGCTCGATTATTGCTCTTGAAAACCATATCAAAAACTTATAGATTTTATGGCTTTACAAGGAATAAATAAATAAAAATTTCCCAAAGGTTTTTAATTTTTATATACAAGGCTAAATCTGGTTTGTGCCATTTTGTGTGTATTATAGGTCCCTAAATTAATGCTAATTTTCATGTGGATAAGTGGAGCCTTGTCGAAGTTATCACAATTTTCGAAGAGAAATTGGAAAGTTCAGTCTAGACAAAAAGAGCCTGCAAAAATTTTTTTTTTTTTTCGATTGGTATGAAACTTTGACTTTGTATTTAAGGGTTTTACGAGGTGACAAATACAAATCTCAACTTTGTTAAGCTCCAAAAATAATTAATTTATAAAAACATTTTAGCATTAAAGGTAGGATAAGGGGCTGAGTCTAATTTAAATAACTGTGCGAGAATGAGCACTTAGTTAGGATGATAGCCAATAGAAATCGCTAGAAAAACAGACAGCCGGGTCTACACAGAGACACTGCTTCAAAATAAACCCTATGCATAGAAAGAGATAACTCTCTATTACATATTTATAAAAAAAAAATATATATATATTACCTCCAAAGATCATAATAAATTTCATCAATAACAATCTTTAAAAATATAAATACAAAACAAAAAAAAAAACAAATTAATTATTAAAAATTGGGTAAATAAAACTACCTGTTTTTAAATGCCATCATGAAATAAAAAGTTACTGTAATAAAAAAGTGGTTCATTTAATTGATTTAATGCTTTTGAAATTTCTAAAGCATTGTCAGCCTGAACACCAATTTGCTTAATACCGCATTAGCATTTTGTACTTAATATTTTAGCAAGGTTGACAAAAAGTATTCTTCCGTAATATTAATAAGCATTAACTATTTTATGAAAATTAATCATTTTTTAGATTTTCAAAAAACAATTAAGATATCATGTAATATGCTGTTTGAAAATCAACCTGAAATCCAAAGTATTTTTATTTTTACTTTTTTACAGATTCCATCTTCAACTTCAAGAAATGATCTCTTTGTTCAAAGAATATTGAACTTCATAAGAGAAAAAATATTTAAAAATGAAAAAAAAAAAAGCAAACAATTGATTTTCACTAAAACAGACCTTAGGAAGCATTTGCAATCGACCATTAAATAGTTTGATCTCATGGGATATATAACTTAAAAGTTTACAATCCTAATTACGAAATTGAACAGGATCAAGCATCAATTAATATACCATTAACATTATTTTATGATTTACCACACTCAAGCTTAAAAAGTGCCTTCAAACTTTTGTGAAGTTCAAAATATACAAGATTTTAACCATAACAAAATTGTAGGTTTGGGAACTGAATTTTTAAGTAAGGGAATAGCCAGAGCAAGTTAAAAAATATTACTTGAACATGGCTTGTTTCAATGAAACAGTACTTAACACTATATTTTTCTTTAAGAAAAATGTTTATAAACATTTATTTGTAAATCATATTTCCAATATGATGTGTCACTTCAATTAACCAGTTAATAATATAAAACCCTAAAAGTCTCTTTATAAAAGAGACTTAACAAAACTATATTATATATCACAAATGAAATCAGATATTTAATAACTCTAGATATACTTATTTCTAGCACCAACTAACATTTAATTTTTTATCAGGCAGAATTTCTCAGAAATATAATAGAAACATCAATAATATATTTGCTTTTTAAAGCAGAGAACAAATTAAAAAATAAAAAGGATTTGTATTGCATCAAATCCTGATATACAGCACATAGGCACATAAAAAAATATATATATTTTTAGTTGCATAAATACTTCTACAGGACAGAACTTCTTATGGTCAGTCAATGGTCACAAAAAGACCAAATATTACCATTCAAAAGTATCTACTTCTGCATAAAAATATATATTTAATTTTACTTTCAATTATAATATATATATTGATACAATACAATCGGGGAGGAGTTGATCACATGTTAAAATTAGACCCAATCCATAGTTAATTCCTTAGGCTTTATATATGAAGCGTTATTTTCATTCTGTTCACCAATTCTGAAACAATTCAAAGAGAAAACAAAAGGGAATTCAAATCAAGGTAGTAAAAGAAAATAAATAAAAACAAAAAAAAAATAATAATAAGGGTTATTTTATGTCCATTATATATATTTTTCCAATGTAAGGTATATCAGAATTTGTTTACAATTAATACAAACAATAATGGAAGAAAAGTTTCTATAAAAATTTTGATCATTACACCACAGTATGTACGTATTTAATGTTATAAGGAACATAAGTTTAAACATAGCATGAGATACATATTTAAACGATGAGATGTATAATTCTAAACAAAATTGAATCATCTCAGTTCAATACAAGAATAAATTTTGGGACAATACATTAGAGAAGTGATATTTTTAAATATACCAACTAAATATAAAAACCAAAATAACTCAATTCATCCAATTGATTTATAACTTTTCAATTTTTAATAAAATAATAATTCTAAGCATCACTCACCTTCGTTATTTAAATTTGAAAGAGAACATCACAATTTCTCCCATATGCTTTCAAGCTGTTAAAAAAAACAGTAAAACCAAATGACACATATATACGGTGATATAAAAGATATTTAAAAGAAATATCTCAAAAATTCCAACTAATTAACATAAAAAATAACAACAGTTGTCATACACTGATAAAAGTAAGCAAATAGTAGGAAATAAATAAAATATTGAAGGATTTTTTCCGTCAAAAAATAATCAGAAAAATTTGAAGTAATTATTTTCGATGTTATTCCTAACAATATTAAAAAATAAAAAAATTGACTCAACTCTTCTATTACAAGACAGGACCACCATTGCTGTCATAATGGTAGTTGGCGAAAATTAGTCAGTCACACTTAATTCCTCATAGTCTTTATAAAATTTGTAACTACTATTTAGTACAAGTGGCTCTCTATTTATCCTAAAAGACTGGACAAACCATGTTCAAAACCCATCCAATTAATTCTAAAAATACTGATAGAACTACGAACAGAAAAACTTAATGCCAAACAGATCTCTTGAAAATCCCAAGATGTACAAGAACTTACTAAGCTGTCAAACAAATAAATAGTTTTCATTTTGACAAATGAATTTCACAATACTTATACATTTAAAAAGGTATATTCAGGAAGTCATGATGAGCAAGCTAAAATATCTGAACACTGCCATAAATTAATCTTTGGTATATTAATAATAAAAGGCACCCACAGCTTTACATTAAGTAGATATTACCAAATAAAAACCAGAAGATATTCAAGGGGTTGTTATAGCCACAAAAGAACCAACACTTATATCCCTCTAATTTGCTCTTATAATCTTTGTTTCTAGCAGTCAATCAAATAATAAAGTGATTTTCAAATGGGTCACATAAAACGCTACTAGAATCAATATTTTTTTGATCTAAGAATTACTCTAATTTCATATGAGTTGTATCCCATGTTCAGAAAGTCTTCTTTTAACCTTTTGTAGGTCAATGGCACACATGTTGTACCATAAAATGCTTCAATTATAATTTGGAAATAATATTATTGAGAGCTACTAGATGCAGCAAGGCTGAAAAAGTTAAGTAATCTCATAGCACTAGAAATAGGCAGTACAGTAAAGTTGGTACGTCTGTGCCAGTGAGTGGCCATGTAATTTTAAAAATTAGTTGTTACCACACACTTAATTTCTGGTTGTTCTAAAATTCCTACTAAATGGCTAATTAATATGATAAAGTAAAGAATTAGAATTACAAGAACTAGCCCATTGAACATATGATTGTTTTTTTGTTTTAACTATTGTACTGTAGATGATGAAAAAATAAGAATATCTATCTGACCTTTTGAATAATAAGTAAAAGTTGGTGATTTTATAATGCAAACCATTTTACGACAAATTAACTTAAAGAAAAACTAATGGGGTTAATTACATTATATCATCATATTACTTTGTTTTTAATGTAATACAATTAAGAATTTGTTTTCTCCTAGCATATAAATAAAGACATGAAGAATAAATATTAGCGACTATAATAAAAAAGTTGTAATTATAGTAATTCTATAAATTCCATGGTGTTTGAATAAAAAAGTAATTTCATATTTTGTAGTTCTTAATGAACTTTATTTTTGAGAATATTTAAATGCCAATGATGCAGTATTAATATTCCATATAAGCCTGTTTTGTAACCATTCTTCCTCCACATCTTCATCTTCACTGCAGAATTTCTCAAGTAACTATTGAATAAAGAATAATTCAAAACCATATTTGTCACTGAACCAAAGTGTTTTGATGTTGGTTGTGTCTTGAGAGGTTTTAGTAGATGTATGTATATAGATGATGATTTTGGATGGAATGGGTCTCAAATCCCTGATAAGCCTTCCAATTATTATTATATATCAGCAATGCCATATTATCCATTCTTTGTTTATGCTCTCAAAAAGAATTAAAATCTAATTCATAATTAAATTTAATCATTAATAATTTTTCTTACCTTCCTTTGACAAATGTTTCCCTTCAGGAGGTTCAATACATCCAGATTCTCCTCCACCTTTATCCCTTTCACTTTTCAAGCCAAGATTTGACCAATCAAAAGAAGAATCATATTGATAATTCAATTTCCTAAACAAGACATTGAAAAGTTGACGAAGATACCAATAGTCTGGAGTCTCTTCAAATCTTAGATACCGGCAGTAGTTCAAGTACATCACAAACTCGGCAGGAAAACCCTTTAAAAGAAAAAAATAAAATCTTCTACAAACTGCCTAACAACAAAAATCATTAATTAATTATAAATTGCAAACAATTCAATATTCATTGTTAAATTAAAGTTCAGAAAATTAATGTAATATTTTGTAAATCTGAAATGCATTGTCACCAAAAACAACTTGTAACATTTAACACAAACACTACATAATCGTGATTATATATTATATTAATATCCTAAAGACAATGCAAGTTAATTAGGTGAACAATATTAGGCTTAGAATGAAACAATCAGCAAGATTAATAAACAATGAATAAATAGATGAACATAATTAATAATTAATTTAAGAAGTAAATAGTTATAATAGACTAAATATAGATATACTACTCACCTTACATAAAGTTTCAACAGTAGTAGTCATCTTCTTTTCACTTATTTTTTCATACTTTTGTTTTTTTGTAGCAGCCTGCAAAATATCCAAATTAAATTTTATATTAAAAGCATACCTACTGGCTTTTTTCTTTGTTAGATTTAGTTAACTTCAGTAAATTATATTTAATGGGCAAAAGAATAGCTGCTGAAATCATTTGGAACATGCTTAGAATAACTTTCAAGGACCGTAAGGTTGAAGAAAATAGTTATTAAAATTACTGCAAGCATAAATTTTAGAATCATGACATAGACAACCACAATATGTTTGGTCGAGGAAAAAGAAATTTCGTTTTTTTTCCCACATTTTTCAAAGGAAATTTGTTTATATAAATTTCAAACAGTAATCAATGATATATGTGCCATTTGATCGATGACCTTTTGACATTTTTCTGATAAAACCATAAGTTCTTCACTGTAGAAGTTTTGAGATTTCTGGGCAAAAACTGAACTAAGTGATTTGTACAATTCTCTTTTGATTTACACCATTAAGAGAATTCTGCAGAGATCGAAAAAAAATGGTAGTCAGACAGTGCAAGGCCCGGATTATACATCAGATGCATCAAAACTTCTTAGCCAAGCTCTATCTATCTTTGTGAGGTCATTAAAAATGTGTGTGAGGGAAGACAATACCCTTCCTATTGATCAATTCTGGCCATTTTTCTTTAATTGCCTGCATCAATTGCACTAGTTGTTCACAATAGAGTTGAAGTAATGGTTTTGCTAGGTTTGAGCAGATCATGATGAACAATTTCTTTCCAACTCCAACATACACTCAGCATCGCCATACATCATTTTCGCACTTATTGTCGTCCGTGAGCCACTTTTAGTAACCTGGAATATTTATTTTTTTTTAAATGACTTGATTTCGTTTCATTTCAGCAGTAATTCATAAATAGAAACTCGTTCCATTAAATTTTTCACTGTTAATTCATGTGGAACCCAAGTATCAAGCTTCTTTTGATATCCAGCTTTATGTAAATGGTTCAAAACTGTTTTCTCATCGACATTTAGTTTGATCGTCTTGGATGATGAGGAGATACTGAAATTAAGGTGTGGTTACATCATGAAACAGTTAACGGAGCTGTAATACACTCGCTCTCAAGAAGAAAATGAAAGACAGGAGCAGGAAAATGACCTAATCCAGGAAGAAGTGGTGGAGATAGCCAAACTAAAAATCGAGAAAGCAGCAGGACGAGATCAAGTAGCCCTGAATTCATCAAGTATGAAAGGAATGAACTCGAAAATGTGTAACAAAATTCCTTCCAAATAATATGAAGTGAGAAAAGGATAACATAGGACTGGGAATTCAACATAATTTTCCTAATTCACAAAAACGGAATCAAATCAAGTGTTCCAATTATAGACTCATCTGCCTATCTCCGGTACTGAACATGATCTAAGACAGTACACTAAAGAAAACATTAAGACCCATAGTGAAACCATACTCGCAAGAGAAGCATAGAGCATTTAGGCCAGGAAGGCAGATGCAGAACCATACCTTCATTCTCAAAAATACAATAGAAAAAGCATGGGACTGTGATAGGAACATTTATCTTGCTTTTCTAGGCCTGAGAACAGAATCTGATTCAGTTCTCAGGGAAGAAATCTGGAGAGCCCTAAGAGCAAAGAATGTTCCTTCTAAACTGATAGAGACTATTAAATCTAAATATCAGGAACCGAAGGGGATACAGCTAAGAAACAGCCAGGAATCCAAGGAGTTCAAGATGGAAAGAGGAGTTAAGCAGGGAGACTCACTCAGCGACCTATATGTTAATCCTCTTTGTCATCTACATGTATGAGATCGCCTCTTGAGGTAAAAGCCGCACTCATTGTTCAATTCCTCCTTTTTTTCAGACGATATGATATAGTTCTTATCACACAAATTGCAATAAGCAGTTACCGAGTGGTATAATGAGCTGGAAAAGGAAAAGTATGACCATCAACTCAGCTAAAAGTAAAATTCATCAACTTGGAAGAACCTGAGAGAATGTCAGAATCTCCAATAACAAAGAACTTATTAAGGTGATATTGGATTTCGGGATCTGGTATCCAGTATCTGGGTACTATGATCAACAGATCTGTAATTCAATAACCAGAAACAAAGAAATATATAAGGAAACAAAGCTAAACCTGTTTAAGTCAGTGTAAATCCTCCTATATTTAGTTGAGAGCTGGGTTTTGACTGAAAAATTGCACAGCTGGATCACAGCAGCTGAGATGAGGTTTTTAAGAAGAGTAATAACACAGTTTAAGTTCCAAATCCAGTTTCACAATAACAAGAAAAAAAAATTAAATAATAAACAATAAAAACCTATTATTGAAAATATATTATTTTAAATACCTACCTCTGAATTATCTAACTTGCGACCAAGGTAAATGACTCCAAAAGAGCCACTACCTATTTTTTTGATCAACTTATATCGGCCACAAACAATAAAATCATGTTTATGGTTTATGGTTATAATAAAATCAGGTTAACCACTAGCTGAGGTGGTTTGGATACATCAGCCACATGAAACACCATAGTGACCCTATCAAAACAATGGAAATGAAACCATTGGGCAGGAAGTCTAGAGGTAGACCCAGGAATTCCTAATTGGATCACACTGAAGGGATTGGTAGATGACAACAAATTACTGCTGGAGAGATGAGGAATAGAATTGAGAAGAAATAATAGAATTGAACTCAATTTTAATTTGTTTAATATTATTTCAAAAACTAACATGGCAAATGATACAATCATATATTTCAATAAATATATAGCTAAACCTATAGAAGTAAAAAAACAAACTTACCTTAAGGCCTTGCCATGGTAAACTTCCTCTGTTGAAGTAAACCAAAACATACCCGAGTGATTCCATATCGTCACGACGACTATAAAAAAACATAAATATAAACATATCAGAGAAGATAAATTAAAAAATATATATACATAGAGATCAAAACAATATTACCAGAATCAACTTTGAAGATAACTATTTCTTTACCAATGTCCAAAACTTTAAAACTTGAGTGAACCACACGAAAGAAATTAGGGCATAATATAGAAAAATTATTTTTAAAAAACTACAAAAAATTAATATTATTAGTTGGTCTCCATAGCTACTAATAGGAGGACAATGAACTCCATATTGAGCCTGATTATTACAACATGGCAACAATATTAAAGGAAGTATAGATTGGCAGCACCAGTTATCACTTAATGTTTAACCTGTAATCTTAAGGCATTAAGTAGCTGCTGTACTACATACAAGACAAAGAACAAATGCTGATGACACTACATTAATAATGCCATGTGATAAGTCAGCCTAATTGATATGGTATAAGCTCTAACAAAATTATTTTTAAATAAAGGTGTGGAAATCAAGAGATCAGTATGACAATCTAATCATCCTTAACATTAACAATAAGGAAACATAACTACTCTCAAGTATTAACAAAAAGGAATTAACTGATTAAAGATAATTTTCAAGAAATCCAGTATTTTAATTAACATTGATAGTTAAAGGAAAAGTATTATAAAAGTATAAAGCTTTCATTCAATTTACAATAATAATAACATACTTTATTTATAAACAGGAAATTCTGATAACTTTAATGTTACTCGTATAAGTATTATATTCCTTCTGAATAATTTGATAGTTTAGATAATAAGCAGAAAACCTACAGAAGTAAAACATTCTCCTTCCTTTTAGTTCAAGAAGGAAACAAAGAAAACAGACTAAATGGACCATCTTAAAAGACTTTACGAACAGATAATATTGTAAACCATGAGTTAAAAATTAAACTAATCAAAGAAAAAGAATCAACATCATAACAAATAAATTAGAAATCAATAAAGAGTACAGCAATCACTTATACTTTTTCTTCTGTACAGAAAAACAAAAAGATTAACTTGAATAAAATGTTGGTATAGCCCACATAATTGAACTAATCTGTGACATGGAGACAACAGTTGCGTCAGGCTTATGGTTCTTGGGATCTAATTATTTATATAAATTTCGCCAAATAACTCACCCATTAAAATATTACTATTTCATATTATTTCAGACAGAAATGTAAACAAACTTTCGATAATATATTAAATAGTTCAGGTATTTGGTAGAGAGAAGGGGATATATTTAAAAGTGTCCAAAATTTTGCTCAGTAAGATATGGTATAATATTATTTTGACCCATCCATAACACATCAAAATTTCTTAAAAAAAAAAAAATTATATATATATGGATGTCCGAAGCAAAAATTCAATTTTCTAATAAAATTTCATTCATTAGTTTGATCATACAGTAAATGGAATTTTGAAAGTAACAGAGAGTTGACAAACACTATGCACACTCAGGGAATCAACTTTCAATGGTATTGAGTAGAGCACAAACAAAAGTTCTTGTCAGTGGAGATGAATACTAATCAGTTTTTCATCAAACACCTTTAGTAATTAACATCAGAAAAAGGCCTGGGGTCGCTTCCGTTTAGTGTTGGACACAGTTGGCTGCTTATAAATTCCAACTGCAATGCAATCGATGAGATCTTGGTCTAGCCAAGATGTTGGAGTAATACTAATGAAGTGGTATCCACAAAATATCAATTTATATAAGAACATAATGGTGACCTTAATCAAATTTGATACTTTGATCCTTAAATACAATAAATGTTAACTTAGCTAACTAAGGGAAGAAAAAAAAATAGATTCTAATTAATATTATAATTATTAACATCATCACCTAACAAGAGATAGAAATTGTTTATTAATATATATTAGTAAATATACAGTAATATCATGTCAGGCTGACAGGTGCCCCAAGATCAAATGACCACACTGTTCACGCAATATCTAGTAGAGTATGCATGCAGAAAACCAATTTTCAAATCTTCTCACTGATAAATAACTGCATGAAAGACAAATCTCGACTCAAATGGATAGATTATATTAGATGCTGCATTCCAAAATAACCATAATTTTATAATTCCTACCCACGAAAATTACAACTTCTAGTACTAATTGGTTTATTAAATTATGTTTGAGTTATATTACATGCCGAACATTGAAATAAACTCAATTTATCAGTTTTGAACCAACTAAACCAGACTCTTGCTACTTTTTTGAATTAATAAGCACAATAACTTCGAATAACACAATAACTATGAAGTGAGAAATTCAATTAAAATAATAGCCATTAAATTAAAGAAACAAATGAAAAGTTAAAATAGCACCTTAAGACCAACTCATTAACGCATCAATAATAAATTTAATATAAACTAGAGGAGTACCCTGTCCGCCTAATGGCAGACCAATCTCTATTTTACAAATTATACAACTGTTCATTTGATTGTATAACTATAATTTACATCTAATTCTTTAGTTTAGATTGTATTATTTTTTATGAACATAAAATAAATGGAACAAAACCACAGTTTAGACAAATTTTTAATTTCTTTAAAAATCTATATTATACATCGCACCTTATTGCCAATTTGTATCCATAATAAAGGAGAAATAATTCTTGGAATAAGAATTGTTGTGTCTTCATTACGGTCTGTCATGCTCTTTATAAGTAAAATAAAATGGCACAGCCACTAAAAACTTTTTAATATGATAGAGAGATAAAACATAATAATAGATGCTTTACACAATATATATGTATAGGTCAGTTTATTGTATTTATTTATTTTTTTTTTACATTTTGATATTAAAATAATTAAATTGCATTTATTTATGGATGGTAAGAACATCTAAGGACCAATAGGTAAAGATGGAATATATTGTCTTTGGAAAAATCCTGAGTTGCATAATAAATACTAAGAACTGCATCAGAATCCAGAGACTGAAATTGTTTGACCATTTAATAAGAATGGAACACAACAGAATGGCAAAAAGACTTTATATAAGTACAACATATAGAAAGAGAAATAAACAAAGACCCAAGGGCTGCTGATAGTTCATTGAAGACAAATGACAGTTAAAAGGTGAACAAAGTCCATGTAAAGTGGAAGAAAGAAGTTGAAAAAAAAGAGGCTGCTAAAAGAACCTGTTGAGCAAAGAAAAAGTGTAGTTACTTAAATTCATTAAGTTGATTGTGTATGAAATGAACTTTAACCAGTTAAGAATAACCAACTCATATAGCTTTGGCATTCCAAGAACAGTGTTATCATACGATCTTGGCTCTGCTATCAATATGACATAACATAATAAAATTACGAAATACAAAGGCATGCGCCCTACAAGACAGTTATACAATTAAATATAAAACACGTCTTACCTTTGTTCTATTCCAAGATGAGCATTTACGGAAGCATAACGGGCAGTACCAGTAAGACTCTTTTTTTCCCGATATTTAATATGAACATTACTTCTCGAGCTCCTGTACTTTTTGGCCAAGCCAAAATCAATCAAGAAAAGTCTGTTACAATGTTTCCCAATGCCCATTAGGAAGTTGTCAGGTTTAATGTCACGATGAATAAAGGACTTTGAATGGACATATTGAATAAGTCGTATCATCTGGTCAGCAAGCATAAGAACAGTCTTTAATGAAAAACGACGCTTGCAGAAATTGAATAAATCTTCTAAGGATGGTCCCAAAAGGTCCATGACCAAAACATTATGATCTCTTTCTGTACCATACCATCTAAAATAAAATGAATTAATATCAACAATATTGTTTTAAAACAGGGTTCGAAACCTGATATGTACACATACCTAATATTAGGGATACCACAATGTCCTTGTAAATATTTATACAACTTGCTTTCAAATAGCAATTGAGGATGTTGTGTCCGAACTGGTTCTAATTTTATGGCAACTTTCTGGGAACATAATAAAATTACAAATTTAAATAATCATAATCAAGTGATAATGATAAATAAGACAGTTCAAGTTCCAAATCTAGTCTCACAATAACAAGAAAAAACTCAAATAATAAATAATAGAAACCCATTCTTGAAAATATATCATTTTAAATACCTACCTCTGAATTATCTAACGTGCAACCAAGATAAATGACTCCAAAAGAGCCACTACCTATTTTTTTGATCAACTTATACCGTCCACCAACAATAAAATCATGTTTATGGGAAAAGGAGGAAGATGCCATTTTTTGTTCTTACATTTAGTATTCCTTTTAAGGAAAACCATAAACTTTACTTTCAAAAGCACAACTTGAAAACTAATAGCATTTGTTGACCACACTAAGGAAGGGTAACCTCTTCAAGTAGGTCAACATAAAATCTATTTATATATCATTAAAATCAGATATTGTTTACATACAGATTAAGACAACAAATTGTGGTCCTCAATTGGAATATTAAAATATATATATAAATATGTTTTTAAGAAAATAGTAACAAGCAATACGCCATTTTTGTAATTAACGCTTTATGCGTATCGATGTAACTGAGACTACCAGCTAGCATCAAGAACTTGAAGATGGCGTTACCTTGGTAACAAGTTATTGTTTGCTATTCTAATCGTACAATGTAAAAGAACTATAGTCTTCAAAGCCATAGTTCTTGGTAAGACATTATTTGTTTAATTGAAGTGTTAGTCTGATATAGAAGACTAAACAAAGAAATAAAAGCTGTCGTTAAATGCAAAGTTGTTAGCATTACATTCAACAGTTGTTGAAAAAAAATATATATTCTAATATATCTTGGAAAAAAATATATCTTGAATAATCAAAAATTTATCTTGGATATTCAATTGATGAATCGTTTTTCACAATATGTTTGACGCTGACGTGATTTCATGATAAATATTGTTAACGAATACTCCAGGAGCTTACATAGTTTTCTCTTTACAAAACGAAGCTGTATTTTGAGGAAAATATTTTCTTACAATACCTAATATTAATACACTCCTTAAACGTAAAAAAAGTTATGGACTGTTTAGACGCCCTGTTGTATCCTGGATTAATCCTGAAATCAGATATTTGGTAAGGAGAAGAAACGCTGCAAGGAAGCGTTTCAAAGCACACATGATTACATCTCTTTCAAGGCCTTTGAAACTTTACCCAATCTTCCTTACGATATGCTAAGGTACAATTCTTCCATATTTCCTAATCACAATTATCAGGTCCTGAGTTCGAATGTAAAATCCTTAAAAATCTCTTCGTAGTAAAGACAAAAACCTGTACCTCTTATTCTGTTCCTTCTGATTAACTAAAACTTTCTTTGGCCCTGCAAATCTATATTTAACAAATATTTCACTTTAAGATCTACTTTCTCTATTCTCAAATCCAGAACGGATGACTATCGGTCAGATCTAACTGAAAAAAATTCCAGTTTCATGAGCTTGCAAAAAAGTTGTCCGACCGTTGAGCAAAGTTCTGGTTCTCTACAAAGCCTTCGATTTCAGACACATCTCTATTCTCTTCAACCTTTCAAAACCTCTTGAAAGATTAGTCCATTAACAGTTTAATACCTCCGCTGAGCAAAAAGCACTCCTCAATCACCTTCAGTCTCAATTCCCGATCCCAGTTCTTCGCTCAATCTACTCTGTTGCAAATTACCAAAGATCTTCAATTCTCCATAGACAAACAAAAAATCTTTGATTTTTTTAAAAGCCTTCGATTCAGTTAATCACGAAATCCTCCTTTGCAAACACCAAAACCTTTCCACATCAAATAGCGTTGTAAAGTAGTTCCATTATATCATAGATCCCAAACAGTTACCATTCCCAATAAAACTCTTTCCTCCCCCATCTTACTAACTCGCTGTGTTCCTCAGGAATTTCTGCACTCTCCAACTCTTTTCTCCACCTACATTAACGACCTTCCTGATTCCATAAATCTTTCACAATACCTCTTACATACTGAGGACAGGACATCCAAATCTACCTTTCCTTCCATCCTAACGAGATGTTTGTGGCGATCCGAAAGCTACAAGAAAATATAGACAGTTTTAACGCTTAAACAGCGAGCAATGATTTTAGGAAGAACGTTGAGAAGACAAGACCAAAGTCAATCTCACTGGTTCCAAGAATCTTATTAATTCCATTCCTTATTATTCCCTACTCTACCTTGATGGGCTACCTATTCCTTTCCACACTTCTGTTAGAATCCTTGGGGTAACTTTTGATCAATATCTGTCCTGGAATACCCCGTGGTATACCCAGTTGAATGAAATAGCTTTATCCATTTTTCCGACAGCAATATTTTCTAAGTTTATTTCTTTTCTTAACTTTGGTTTGGAATTCCCTATCTACTTCCATACGCAAATCCTCATCCTTAATCTTAATCCATTTAAACACCATTTATTTTTCAATCTCCTGACCAATCAATCTTCCGAATGTATGTAAGGATATGTCCATATTTTAGAGCTATGAGACAAAAAAGTCGATCTTGCATGCGGAGCCTATATTCACAAACTGCTTCGAGGCGCCTTCTAATGAACTGTTACTTAGTCTTTACTGTTCAAAGACATACATCCTATTGTAATTTGTACAGGTTTAGGTTTTTAATCTTGAACAGTAAAAATTGAAAGAACTAACTTATTTCTATATTATATTGGCATTTGTTTGTTTTGTTGGCCAAAATACCATGCATATTACTTGCATAGGCAAACTTATACTTGCAAACTTCAAAGAACTAACGTGCTTTGTTTTTCATGAAACTATAATGCAATAGTAGTTTTTCGGTAATAACATTTTTTTAGCCATTGACTGGCATTTTATTTACAAATTACCTGTGGTAAAGTATGGTGTTCCTCTGATATAGTGTTTATTCTTTTGTTGATTCTGGATAGAAATGACGTACCGTCATTCTGAAATTAATAAAATAAATTGATAAGTTTTCAGTAAATTACATCTTTAAAACAAATTTTGTTCGAAAATATTACTTCGAAGATTAAGAATGTCTCTATTTTTTTAAATAAATAAAACGACTGTAAAAGAGTGCTACCTACCTGCACATTTTTATGAATAATTTCGTTGTCTTGAATCTGAAAAAAAAAATTAAAAATAAGGACAATGAATTATATAATCAAAACTTTAGGAATGCCAATCTAAGGGAACGAAAGGGGCTCAAGCCAATTAGGTTTTACTTCTTACCTTCTATATAAATAAATTTACATACATTATATAATATTTTTGTGATTTCTTTAGATAATGTTTCGTTGCATCTAATATAAAGAATGAGATTGAACTTCAGTGGAGATCTTATACACTAGATGGGAACCTGAGAAAATCTATCACTAGAATCCTTGGTTTCTCTCCACTGTCCTGAATACAATTCTTATGAAAACTAGGCTATAGTTGGAAGATGTGATTTATGCTGGCCACTACCAGTTCTTAAAGTTCGTACAGTAATTCAGCCTCTTTTGATATGAAGTCTCCTCAGGTAGAATTATTAAGAATCAAAAATGGTGGTTCTATCACTTGTAAAAGTAATTTCTCCGTTTAATACACTATATATTTATTTAATATTAAGATAATCGCTACACTCCACGCAACAAGGCCTTAACGACGTTCACCACTCATCTTTCTGATACGCTGTTGTTCTGGATAACTAGGATGGTCCGGGTGTCATCTGCTACACCACCATCAGCCCTAGTACTCGTTAACCTACATATCGGGGTTACCAGACCCATGGTGCCCAGGGCCCGGGGGGTCAAGAGGCTCAGTAAATATATCAGGATTTTAAAAATACAGTTTATTAATACACACATAGAGATGTGTGCGTGTGTATATATATATGTATCACGTATACATAAATATACACACATATACATATCACATGAGAGGGGGGCTGGTCGAGGGATGTGGGGTCCCTGTTGGGGTGGCTAACTAGTACGGGGCCCTTGTGGTCCATTTTGCCATAGTAACCCGAAAGTTCTGGAGACGGACCAACATCATCGCAGTCGAAGGTTTGATTTTAAATTAAGAAAGTGTAAGTTATTCTGAGTAAAAATAACCTTGTCTGCCATTCCAGAGCCACTGCTTAAAAAAATGGAGGCTGATTCAAAGGATATCAGGCCAGTAATTTGAGAATCGTTACGGGAAATTAATTGCGAAAAATGTGAGAAAAGTTTTTATTTTATAAACTTGTATATATGGGTTTTGGCATGTAAAAAACAAAATTGCTAACGCGGACCACTAAGGGAAAACTTTTTTCATTCATCAAGTCAGATTTTTTCGATATTGTTTTGTTTTATCACCTATAACTCCTAAACTATGCGTTAAAATAAAAAATATACTCTATAAAAAATAAAAAAACGTTAAATTGTACGTAGAAAGAGTATATACAGTTTATAATTTGGTCACGTGGTAAGGTATAAAACCAGGTCAACCAACGCTAATTTTCGCCAAATTTGTCAAAAACTTAGACAAAATACTATAAATGGCTCTGTAACTTGGAAATGAGTTCCTTAAGAGGAAAAACCCATAGAACCAAAGTTGTAGAGCATTAAAATTTGCGTCAACTGGGTATTGACATTTTTATTTTAGCCCAATTATATATGTCGAATCGGGACTCATTATTTCTTTATGAAATTCGATATCTTTCGACAAGCCATTTATCATAATCCTTCACTGCTGAGAAATGGAAAAGAAGCTTAAACTGCAGGTGACAGACTCTAAACAAAAATAACTCAGCAGAATGGGCACCCATACTGTTGAAATATTGAAAATCACGTTTGCTTTCATTACCAATTTCTAACCATCGGGAAATTACGATTTTGTTCGGGGTAAGTGACCTACATTAAATAAGTTGATACTCAGTGGACGCGGAATATGATGCTCTACAACTTTGATTCTATAGATTTTTCCTCTTAAGGAAGTCATTTCTAAGTAACAGGGCCATTTATAGTAATTTCTCTCAGTTTTTGACAAATTTGGTAAAAATCAGCGTTCTGGACTCATCCTAGCCACATGACCAGCCCACCGGTGCCGTCCCACTTTTATAAAACGGATGATGTCCCTATCCTCGTACACGCTCATTATTTCTTGTTCGCCTTCTCCAGGTGGTTTCCTTTGGATCATAGATTGGTCCCAAAATCCTCCTCAGCACCTTCTTTTCGAAGCGTAGCAAGTCTTCCTCCAATGCCCTGGTCAGCATCCACGTCTCAGCACCATAGGTGAGAACAGGCCTAATTTTGGTTTTGTACAGTCGCAGCTTTGTTGTTTGGGAGATTACCCTGCTTTTAAGCTGCGGGACTTGTACAAAGTAACCTCTGTTGGCTGCCTGTATTCTGCGTTGCACTTCAGCCCACACTGGATTGTCGCTTGTAATTAGAGATCCCAAGTATAGAAATTCGTTCACAATATCAAATGTATATTTTTGAACTTGAATGCGTTCGGGTACTCTTCTTGTAGCATCAGTACTCATGTATTTAGTCTTGGACTGATTAACTTGCAGTCCGAACCGTGTGGCTGCTGTCTCAGGGCTTAAGAAGGTTTCGCTCATGGCCGTAAAATTCCTACCTATGATATCGATATCATCAGCGTATCCAAGGAGTTGCACCGAGCGATTGAAAATCGTTCCACCAACCTGAATTTCTGATTGCCTAAGGGCTCCTTCTAGGGCAAAATTAAACAATAGGCAGGCCAGCACATCTCCCTGCCTTAAGCCCTTGCAGGTGGTGAAAGCATCCGATAACTCCCCCTCCACTCGCACAAAGCACTGGACGGATTCCATTGTTCGACGAATCAAACATACCAGTCTTCTAGGGACACCTATTTCCAACATCATCCTGAACAATTCCTCTCTCAGTACACTGTCATACGCAGCCCGGAAATCGATGAAGAGATGGTGGGTTTGAATATTAAATTCACGGGCTTTCTCCAACATCATTTTCAGTGAGAAAATCTGAACAGTCGTTCCTTTCGGCAGTCTGGTGCTTGAAAGATTTTCCGAGTCCATTCCCCAGATCATCAGAATTTTCGCACCTCATTTTGGCTTTGAAACTCCTCGATTGTCTGGAGCTCTTGAGACTTCTGTATCTTTTTTTCCTCCGGTGTGTTTTTCTTGTCTTCTCAAGGCCTTATATGCGTCTTCCGAGCCCCCAGTGTTTCTTTGTAGGGTCAGCATGCAAGCTTCATTCTTGAGGGCGGTCATAGCTTCGCATTCCTCATCAAACCATGGTTTCCTAAGGGTGGGAGACAGGAGCCCCAAAACTCCGCCGGCAACGACTTTCACCACTTCCTTACATTTTTCTCAATGGTCCTCATTATTACCTTCCAGGGTCAAGATTCGCAATTTTTCGTCCATGGAGTCAACAAAACGAATTTTCGTTTCATGATCTTTGAGCTTTCCAATATTCCACTTGGGCTGAGGTACTCTTCTTCGGTTCTGGACGGTAGAAATTCTAGCCCTGATTCGGGATACGACCAGATAGTGGTCTGAGTCGACGTTCGTTCCGCGGTATGTTCTTACATCTCTTAGCCTTGATTTGTGTCAAGCGCTCATCAGGATATGATCTATCTGATTCAATGTAGTCCCGTCATTGGACCTCCAAGTTGCGTTATATATCCTTTTATGAGGGAACATAGTTCTACCAAACACTAGTCCTCTTGAAGCAGCCAGGCCCACCGCCCACCATGCGTCTGCCATTATCATTCGAAACATCATGCAGATTGTTCATTCCAGTTGTTGGTTTTTGGGCCATTTCCTTCCCGACCTGGGCATTGAAGTCTCCGATCACAATTTTTATGTCCGATTGTGGACTTTGGTCAATGCCCCGTTCCAACACGGAGTAAATGGCATCCTTGTCCTCATCTTCTGAAGGTTCCGTCGGTGCATGGATGCTCCATAGGCTGTAATTGTAGAATTTGCCTTTCATGCGCAGGTAGCAGATTCTGGGGTTGACTCAAAACCAATTATTAACTGTCAAGCTATTCTGCCAACCACGAAGCCAGTGCAAAGTGATGCAACCTTTCATGGTAGCTGTAGTGGCCACTCTTCTTTATTATTCCAGTCCCCGTCCACCTTATCTCCCGGATTGCAGCAATGTCCAGCCCAATGTTGTCAAGTTGGGTTAAGAGCAGGTGAAATGCTGCAGGTCGATATAATGACAAAACGTTCCAAGTTTCAAATTTAAAATCAGTTATACAGGCGTTAAGTCGTTTCCGTGAGATCAGTCCGGCTTTTTTATTTTCAGGATTCGCAGTGTTGATTGTTTTCCGTGGATGGGTTACCAACCCAACGCACAACCCACAACCTGGAGGACCAGTCTTGCTGAAGTTAATCCTTCTTTGAGCTGCAAGCAAGGCTCCCCTCCTGCTTCAGGGCCTTGGATGGTATTGCAGCCCCTACTGACCTGAGACGGGCTTTCTTGTAACCCCATTCAGGCTACAGGAGGGTCTCTCTTGTCAGAGGAAAGAAGGGGAAGGGCTCTCTTTTAGTCGCCTCTTACGACACGCAGAGAATACGTCAGGGAAATTCTAGGTCACGTCCCTGCAGGGCTCTTTAATTTATTAAAGAATACATTTTTCGATTTGACGCATAGTTAAGGAGTTATATGCCCTAAAACAAAAAATATCAAAAAATCTTACTTTTTGGCTGTATAGAAGTTTTCCCTTGGTGGTCCGCGATAGCAATTTTGTTTTTTACATGTCTAAACCCATATATACAAGTTTAAAAAATAAAAACTTTTCTCACATTTTTCGCAATGGATTTCCTATTTTGATCCTCAAATTACGGGTCCAATATTCTTTAAATCATTACCTAAAATACACTTTCGTAATTAACAATCAAACCTTCGCATGCGATGAAGTCGATTTTTATCTCCAGGACTACGAGTGGGAGTCTCAAGATTCATTTATCGGACCGCCAGTTGGGAATGAAATACAAAACAATCTGATCCAGAGACGTCTGGGCCACTCTCCCGTGCACGGTAGTCACATCCTCGTGTGCCATAATAGACCATTACAAACGGTTTTGCTGTTTCAAAACTGGAAATTAAGTTTCCTTATTTTAAGAACGTAATGTACTGTAATTATAAATGCATTGTTCATTGATATTGAAAATATGTTAGTATTATATCAGACTATTTATCAAATCTATGTTAACCTGATTAAATTTCTTTTTTAAATTAATTTAATTTCTTTTAATGACCAAATATCTATTGGTAATTATAATATTTATTTATTCTTCATAAAAAATTCACACATTAATAACTAAGTCATAATAAAAGATTGTTAGAAAAAATAATGCCGTTTAAATATTATAATATCTAAGTTAATAATCCTATGAACATACTACAGAATTTTTGGGAATCGCTTCTCCTTCGTAGACAACTCCAAAAGAGCCTTTTCCCAATTTTTCCAATGTACGATAAGTATACAGAGGATCACCCCTTATAATAATAATCTTCCCTTTTTGATCCATTTCTTCAGACGCTAATCGAATTGAGGAACCATCACCAAACCAGTCGGAAATTTCTGAAATTATAGTATAGTCGTATAGTATATAAGGAATTATATAGTATACAAATAAAATACTTAAAATAAATTAATTTTGAGAAAAAAAGAATTAATTTATAAATGCTTAGATAAGTTAAAGTCTATTTTGCAAGAAAGTAAAAACTGTTTAATTAATTTCTAATACTTATGGTCTCATTTGTATTTATATACTAATAATTGAAAAGTAAGTGGTGTACTTCATCATCAGAGAACAAATGCTTGGTAATTTTAAGATAAAAATGACAAGTGAGGTTTTCTCTGAATGTAACGTTTTTGTGTTTTGTTTTATTATGTTAGATATATCAAACCAGCTTTAACAAGTTACTTCTCTAAGAAATAAATGAAATAGTTATTGTAAATTTTAATTCTGGATGGTATAAATCTTATTGAAAGCAAATGGAAGTCTACAGGATAGGTCTTTGAATAATTAAATTATAATTACTTATTAAGTTCTTAAATATAGTGAATCTTTGATGATGTCTGTAAATTACCTCTTAGGTAAATTTTAATGTAATTTCAATCTTTTTTTTAAACATGTGTATTTTAAAATTTTGAATCATTAAATGTCAATTGTTGGTTGAGAAAATTCCAAATTTTCCTAATTTATGGTTTTATTTAAAGATATACACCATGGCATCCTTTTTTCCATCTTCAGAATCGACTTGTTACATATTTATCCATTAATTTAATGAAACTCTGAGGAAGGGCTGCCCATCACTCCAATCATGATGGGGCCTGCATCTCCTCCCCTGCTAAGAAATTTCATTGTTTTTCTTCCTCAAATGAGAGTGGGATAGCTCAGTGGTAGGGCACTGATCTTCCAATACTCAAGACCCCAGGTTCAAATGCCGGGTCATGGCAAGAACATTATTTATTCTGTTTCGTCAGCCGTGGGGCAAACCTGGGGTGAGGAGACCCTCCTTGGACAGCCTTCATAAAGTGGGTACTCTTACTTAAATAATTAATTAAGGGGAAAACCTTGCAGTTGAGCATGATCTCACTCAAATCACCTCCTTGCGAAATCGTTGACTAAGATACAGTACTTTGCCTAAATAGTACTGAACCCAAGAATCTTCAAGAGTTGTAGTAGTACAGGTTTTTTCTTTCTCAAAACCCGTGCAAGTGAAAGCAGAAACATTAGAAGTGTAATGTATTTACAATGAAACTGACTGTGAGTTCCCCTTATTCTCTGATTTGAAAGTCCCACCAGAAAAAAAAGTACACTGAAAATTCATAAACCCATAAAAATGTGCCCCTACTTAAATTTTTATGGTGCAACTTGTGCAATCCTACTCCCTTCTGGGAACTCCTGATGAGATTATAAAGCTTTTTCTAACAAATCCAGATTCACTATTCCTTCATTATACATTTTGATGTTAAATCAATCGGAGATATTCCTACTAGTATTGTTTAATATCAGACTAACAGTTAAAAATAAAAATTAATGGTTATAATGAATTAATTTGTGACAAACTAGTACATGTTTCTGTAGTTATTGTGTACAGCATTGATATATTATCTCATAAATGAAAATGTAAATTATCAGATTGATTGAATACCTGAAAAATTGATGTTATGATTGTGTTTTAAATGAAACCATAAATTATGAAGATTTGGAAATTCCACGCCCAACTATTGAATTATAATTCTATATGTTATATTATAAGTACTTAATTATATTACTTATCATTACCCATAGGTTAGGTTAACATAAAACAATTGCTAAAAAGTAACAAAACTTGTTAAATACAGTATAAAAATGAAGTATTTATTGGGCACCTATTACATCTAAAGTACCAACCACTAACACATAGAAAGGATTCTGTTTGATAGAAACAATTTCAGCTTTCTTGGAATGAAAAAATGATGTTATTCCACCTTAAAATTTTTCATTGTATCCTGGATTGTAATCTGAGTGAGAGCATTAGGTGTAACATCACTCATCTGCAATTTTTAATCTCAGACAAATCTATGGAACTATGGAAGAAGGAATATTCTTTTGTACTTCATTAAATTCAAAAATACCTCTCTCTTAACATTTATTTAATTTTAGTGAAAGCATAATGAATCAATCATGAATAATAATTTTTTTGTTAGAAAAAAAAATGAACAAAAAAGCAGTATCTTTTAAAGCAAGAATCTAGTGTAATATTTACTGTGGATAATTTTGTTCATATCACAATTAATCTTGATAAAACATTTTATTGGAAAAATTATAATTCTACACAAGAAAATTTAAAAAAAAAATTATATACCTTCAAAAAAGAGTTTGTTTTTGTCTTTTTTATATGCATTACCATTACTGTGAAATGACCTTGGTGTATTTCAGAATAAAATTAACTAACAAGTAATTGTAATATGGCAAAATAACTGTATTTGTTATTAAGGTTAATTACAAAAAATATTTAAAAATGAATATAAAAAATTTCCAGAAGTAATCTTGCCTTGTTAAGATAAGTGAGTAGGTACTTTAAAAACAGATTAATATTTAATGCACCAAATATCCTAGAATCATATGGTTGATTAGAACAGTAAATTTAACCAACTATAAAATTTTTAATCACATTCCAAGAGAAATTGGAATTTTAATATTTACTATTATTATTATATTAATCCTATAATTAAATAAATGATTTTTCTAACTATATTCAGATTTTTTTTGTTTAAAAAGTTTGGCAAAAACATGTTGCTCAATTTGAAGACATATTAGATTCCTTACTTTACAAAAATAAAATCATACCTACTCATACTGGTGAATTTCTTTTATAAAATGAAAAACAAGTGGAACAATAATACACAGACTAAATCATAACAGTCAAACACGATATAGGCTGCATGGTATAATTTTAAATAATAACTGTTCAAAGTGTTAGTACCATATGCAATTCATTTCAAAGCTATATGCACATATATATTCAAAAGTACAAAAAAATAAAATAAAGGAAGGTTAAAATCAAGTTAGAAAAAAAAACAAATAATTATATTTTGGAATTTTTTTATAAAAAATACAAATAAAAACAATTAAACAAAAAATGTTGAAACAACATTAAAATAAATAATATTAAAGAACAATTAAAATCCCAAAATGGATTAGATCTTGCTCTATTCTTTTAAAAATAAAATTTTAAGAGGTTGGTAATAACATTCTTATTTTAATATAATTAAAACTATATCTCTACTATTCAAGTAGCCATTAGATAACATAACTAAGATAATGAGTATTTCTTACAATCAACTATTGATGAAAAATACTAAGGTAGTTAGATGACCAATACAATGAAAATTCTATAAATATATAAAAATTTTATCAATAATAATAACACAAATAGCAAGAAATAATAATAAAACTGCAATAATTGTAAGATTCCATAGATAAGTTACATATTTACTGTAATCATTTACATAATTAATATATACTATATACAATGAATTAATTTTAGCATTTGAGCTTTTTAAAAAGAGTACCTTTAATATAGAAATATTCAGTCTGGTATAAAAATGTCTCCAAAGTAATTAAATATTCACTAATGAAGTGTCTGTGTACATTAAAAAATTAACTACACGTGAGCTAATGTAATTCTCTAAGCTCGAATTTTTTTAATTTCTATTATAAATGTCAGATTGGAAGGACGTAAATATATACATTACTAAATTTAAATGAAAAAGAATTAATGAAAGTTTTCTTTATTTTTAGTAATGGTTGGTCATTAACATAAAAAAAAAAAAATAATAATAAAAAAGGCAAGAATCAATTGTTTTCTTTTTAGAAAAAATTATTAGCATGTATTTTAAAATATAAAACAAGCATAACCAAGTAAAATTAATCTTGGTTTAAAATTCCTCCTGGTAAAATCTGGGCTGTTTGGTAAAATTGATAGAAAATGTGCAAAATAGATAGAAAAAATAAAATAAAAAATCACAATGAAAGAGAAATTAAAACAATATTTCCATGGACGGAACCTAAACTCTACTTTTAAAAATTGTCAAGCTGGTTTATATTCTCTCCAAAATATAAATCTATCTATTTATTTTGGACAATGAAGTTTTGTTTTACAGCCTGTGTTAAATTGGCACTTCATGTGGTTAATAATGTATATCACAACTGTACACAAAACACTTCTTATTTCATAAATATTAACAATTTTTTTTTTAGGTTTTCAAATTTGGTCACAATCAAATAATTTTTAACATTATTTATCAATTTTATAAGAAAAGTCCATTTATACATTTACTACCATCACAACCATCTGAGGAGCATGGATATAAAGTCAGATTCAATTTTAAAATTACTACTTTGAACAAAAACAAAAAAAAAAAAGTAAAAGGATAAAAATTCAGGATTTATTGAAACAAATACAATGGGGCTGAGCAAGATAAAAATAAAGATGCACAAATTTTCTAATATAATATTAGCTGTAACTGAAATAAGAGGAAAGACAGAATTTCAAAGTATTGTAATTATACTAAGAGATTTATTTTTCTAAATAACCAAAGTGACTTATATTTTAATGAGGAATAATACCTTTTGAATGATTTGCTACCGTTGTCTAGTACAACTCAGATTAAAAAATAACATCAAATTGAAGAGTTTAACTTAAGAAGAGCAGTCACTGATTTAGACATGATTTCTACTAAGATAAACAAAGCTAAGGAAGAATTAAACAAAAGAAAAATATTACAAATATGTGATGAAAAATTAAAAAAAAAAGAAAGAAGAAGCAATAATAATAGTTTTAGTAGAAAAAGGACTTTTTAGTCTCAATAAATAATTGTTTTATTTCAAATTTATCCAAATTTTCGCCTCTTCAGAGATAAAATGGTTTTACATATAATTAAAATTAAATTAAATTTTTAAATATACCAGTGTTCCTCCATGGAAATATTTCTGAACAAAAATTAAAATACTTGGAGGCACTTTATATATCAGAGGGCCTTGATAGCGTGGTAAATTTTAAAACTGATTCCAAGAATTTAAATAATTTTTATTCTGAAACAATAAGTATCCTGCATAAACAATGATATTAATAGACCTCTGATTGGAGTATTTCTTAATCCACCAGCTGATAAAACAAAAATAAAATTTTTACTGTAACAGAATTTATTTAAAATAACATGTATGGTTTTATAAATGAGCTAATGTCTAATAGTAAATCCTTTGAAAAATTTTTGTATAAATTTTTTTCAGATGTAAATTTAAATTATATGTAAAATCAGATTATCGCTGAAGAGAAGAAAATTTGGATAAATTTGAAATAAAGTAATTATTTATCGAGAATGAAAAGGCCATTTTTTCAACTAATACTTATTATAGTCTCTTTCCCAAGATCATCTTTTATAAATAATAATAGAACAATAATTAAATAAAATATTGCTGAAAAACTCTGAACTCTTCAATATGCAGGTATATATCTTATAACTGTTCAATAAAAATGTAAACCATTAAAAATATTTTTTTTTTTGTAATTAAGAAACTTTGTGCATCTTGAATAAAATGACAGCCTGGCCAAAATGAAAAGCACTGTGAAAGTAAAAACTGAATCTACAATTACAGTACTGTAATTGGTATGGTTAGAAGAAATAGTCATGTTAAATGTTTTGGTAATTGGACTGAAACTAGAACAGCATCATAAGCATAACTGATAACGAAGAAATTTTTATAACTTAAACTAAAATAACTTATGGGAATAAGAAACCCTTATAGTGCTAGAATTTCAACAATTGTGCTCAACCAGTCACAACTGTTGATATTGCTAACTGGGCAGAAAAAATAGATACAATGTATTGAATATTATGATATAAAGTAATACATATTTTAATGATTAAAAAAAATGTATATTTTATAAAATATAATTTGAAGGTTAAAATATAATTAACTTTTAAGATAAATAAATAACTGTGAGCCAGGCAGAATAATCATTTGACAAATTAAATGAAATATAATTATAAGTAATGAATATTGTGAAAAATCAATGTAAAAGGATTTTATATTAGGAAAAATAAACAATATTTAAATGAATACCCACAACATAGTCACTCCTGTTTTTTAACATGATAATATGTAATTTCTACATTTTCAAAGATCCCAAAAAGTTACACAGAAGTTCGAGATAAATCAACTGTAACTACAGTCTTCAAAAATTTTAGAGAGATGGTGAAAATCATATTCTGTGGGGTCCTACACTAATACTATAATAAAGAGCTTAAGTATTTAAAAATACAAAAATATTTATCAAAGAATACATATAAAAATGAAAAAAAAAAAATTTAAATGCTTACAAAAAATAAAAAAAGGAGCCCAAAAATGAGCAAAAATACTGGATAAGATGAAAGTATAAAAATATGTGATCTAGTTTTCAAAAGGAGAATAATCAATCAAAACAAGATAATCTTTAGTATTAGTTATAATGGTGAGTGCATATATATATATATATATATATATATATATATATATATATATATATATATATATTATATATATATATATATATATATATATATATATATATATATGCCATTGGAGAACCTGATATTAAGAAAAAACCATCCAGCAATTGTAACAATGCCTAAATAGGATAATTATTTTTCATAGAGACCAGTAAGTTTCAGATCATAGTCAAGAAAAAATGCAATTGTTTACGTACTAACTAGTTATATATTATTAAGTTTCAGTAGGTTTACTTCATTTCAAGTTTTAGGCCAGTGAATATTATTACTTAATAAGAGAGAACATGTCTTTACAGAACGTAAAACATTATTTTAGTATTTTCTAAAATTGTCAGATCATATCTTCCTATGGAATGAAGCAAATAATCAATTTTGTAAAAATCTATTGAAAGCTATCTCATCAATGAGTCGATTTTGAATCCTATTGGTTTATTAAAATAGGTTGTTAAGTTTTAATTGAAAGATTTCTTTTTTTGTATTAAGTAATATGTATAATAGTGTTTTTACCAAAACACTAATATATTTATCTCAGAAAATTGCCAAAGTAAAGCATGATTTTTCAAAAAGACCAAATTTTTATTTCAAAACCATGTAAAAAATGCATTACACCTTACAATTATCAATGAATGTACAGAAAAACATTCATTGTAAATCTGAAGCTATAATAGACTTAACATTGTGTGTTAGATATATGTTTCTCATATTTCATTCCAACAACCCATTTACTCAATGAATTTATGAACAGGACAAGACTACTTTCAGCTCCAAACAAAAAATTATTAAATTGGATATTAATGAGAAATCAGGTTGACACATTCAGATTCCAAAAAGCCTACCGCTCTTCATGGCTCACGGTAGGCAACAATATTTCATGATGTCCATCGCGATTTTTGTAAATCTATCTGCCCTTCAAGCGTCTTACCAAGATAAATTACAAATAACTGAAACATAAAAAAACAAATATAATATATTAGCTTCTACAATAATTAATAGCTATAAAAATAATTCACTAATAAATTATAACAAATTAAAAATTGAGAATAAGAATTAAAAAAAAGTAGGATTTACTAAAAGAATCATCCATATTGATTGTTTATAGTAAATGTAGTTTAAATGTACATTATACCGTTAACAGTGATACAAGAAGTAAGGTGTCCAGATGTTGTTGAAACCACTATAGACAGCCAAACACTTCTACACCAGGAGAAACGACAAAAATGGGAAAGATGGCACAAGATTCATAGTTAGTCTGGCCAAAAGGAAGTCTGTAATAAACTTCACCTCAGTTAATGGATAAGTGTGCTGCCCGTAAGAGGTCGTTAGTTTAATATCAAGATTATTAACGTGTATGCACCAACTGAAGAAAAAGAACATTAGGTGAAGGATGATTTAATAGATCAGTTAGAAAAATTTGTCATGGGCGAATTCAATGACGAGATAGTTCTAGAAACCCAATTTAAGTCCATCATTGGAGGCCAAAGTTTCCACGAAATCAGCAGTGATAATGGAGTGAGATGTTTAAGTCTGGCAGCAGCTAAAGATCTACACCTAGGTAAGTCCTAAAGAAGCAAAAAGCCAAATCGACCATGTGCTGAAAGACAAGAAAAGCATCAAAGTTCCAAAAAGACATAAGGAGTTATCATGGAGCAGACTGTGATTTAGACCATACTCTGATTAGAATCAAACTCTGTCAGAGGCTGAAGCGAATCCACCAAATTGGGGACTAAGTGGAAAGAAAGAGGTACAAAGTCCGTAATTTGATAAACCCTTTAGTACAGACTGAATTCCAAATTGACCTGAAAAAAAATTCGAACACTTCAAGGCAAAAAGTCTCATGGTTGATCAACATCAGGAGGCACTAGAGTCAGGGTCAAAACAAACAGCTAAAGATGTAATAAGGATTCAGGAAAAAAGAAAAGCCAAGAAATGGTTTACAGAATCATGCGAAAAGGCAGTGGAGGAAAGAAGAAAAGTACTCTGCTTAGGAAAAACTGATCAAGCTATGCTTGACAAATACACAGGCACCAGGAAATAGACAAACAAAATAATAAGAACTGAAAAAAAAAAGATTCCTCAAAGAAAGATTACAAACTATTGAGGAAAACTGGCAAGCTGGAAATATATGCGAATTCTTCGCAGATATCAGGAAATAAAGGGTAAGATGTAAAGCGGGAAATATGCAAATGAGAGGGAAATATTGCAAATTGACAGCATCAAAAGAAAAAATCCTAAGTATCTGGAAAGAACACTTCCAGCAGCTCCTCAATCAAGGGTACCCCACAAACGAAGAAGACATGGACTACATCTCAGAGCCAAGCTGTTAGAACTAATCCATAAAATATGGGAGGAGGAACAGATAACAGAAGCCTGGAACTCGAGGCTGGTCTGTCCTGTATGAAGGTGGTAATGACAGAGGCATAGCACTTCTTCCGGTTGCCTGTAAGATAATTACTAATATTCTACTAAGTTGGATATATCCGTATTATGAAAACATAATAGCGACCACTAAGCAAAGAAGGATTCAGGAGAGGAAGGAGTACGATAAACCAGATATTCATCCTAAAACAAGTACTCGAAAAACAATGGGAAGTAGATCAGGACGTACCCGCCTTATTTATCGACTTTTAATCAGCCTGTGTCTCTTTGGACAGAAACTGTCTTTGGAAGATTATGACTGACCTGGGTGTTAACGGAAAGTTAGTGAGGTTGACAAAGGCTTGTACAAATGATCCTAAATGCAGATTACTGATACAAGGAGAAGTATCAGAAAACTTTGAAGTTCGAACAGGTTTGAGACAGGGAGATGGACTCTCACCAACGCTGCTCAACCGTTAAGAAAGTAATGAGAACATGAAGATGGAGGGGTGCATGTTGGAATGAAACATAAAATCCTAGCATATGCGGATGATATAGCTGTCCTCGGAAATAATCAAGAGAATATTGAGAGATCCGCTCGGACTCTGTTAAGAGAAGCAGAGCAAATCGGGTTACAAGTCAACATAATAAAGATAAAACAAAATATATGATAGCTGAAAAGTCCACCTTTATAGCATGATCTGCATGGAATCTGTAACTTGAAGTCATTCCTGAAAGTAAATAGATTCAAATAGCTCAGCTCCACAATAACCTCAGATAAACCAACGAATAACAAGTGTGAACAGAGCTTCCTTCTCTCTTTCAAGGGTACTGAAATCCAGAAAAATCTTCAGAAATCTCAAACTAAAGGTGTACAACGTCATGATAAAGCCAGTTCTGCTGTATGGCTGTGAAACCTGGGCTCTAACCAGCATCCTAGAAAACAGAATTAGAATATTCAAAAGAAAAGCCCTCCGTACAATAATAGGACCTATCTGGGATCAGAACCTTAACACGTGGAGGAGAAGGAACAATAAAGAACTGCTAAAAGAAACTGGCCAGTCAATATCTCATGATATGCATGATATGATAGGCAAATAGGTTAAGGCGGGAGGGGCATGTAGCTCAAAGCAATCCATCAGGACGCCTTTACACAACAATAAATGCCTGAGTAGCAGGAAAGAGATCACGAGGGAAGCCAGAAACCAGATGGATAGATAGGATCAACAAAGATACGGCTGAGCTTCATGCCGCAAACTGGAACGCAGTAGCCCAAGATAGGCAGATGCGGAGAAGGCTGGTTAAGGCAGCCAAAGATCTACAAGGTCAGTAGAGACAACCAAGAAAAGAAAAAAAAAATTTTTTTAAGCCAAAATTACTAATGATTTTTGGAAATAAGTATGTTCTGTTGCTAATAGTTGACAACAATATTCTCCACCTACTACTCCATACTCAAAATATATCATAGAGGTTACAAAAAATTTATATTTTTGGTTTAAAAAAGTATTACTCAAAAATTAATATTATTGTTAATTGTAAAAATTTTGATCGAAAATAATGATCAGGGCATGATTTTTATCACTTATGATTAAAAATAAAAATCACACTTAATAAAAACCATCTAATGATTTTTAAAAGTTTCAGAAAAAATTTTTGATCAGATTTAATTTTGATTTTTTTTAATTATCGACTTCAAACGCTCATTAAAACTATGTGACCGAGGGACACATTATTAGACTATATAACATGGTGTAATTGATTCTAAAATCTGCCTTCTCAAGTAATCTTCCAATGATTTTGATAAACCGTGTTTAAATCTTTTTCCATAAAGCAATTTAACTTATTATAGAAAGTAATTCCAAAAAAATGTATGAAAATACATTTTGAAGTACAGAAATTTTATTTAATATTAAACTAAAAAAGAATAGCGTTATAATGAAAGTTCTAAATCAAACCAGTAGACAAAGACTGAGCAGTCAGGTGAATGTATTAGATTTAGAAGCCCAATCAATCAAGATTCTTCTCTCTTGCATCACACTCTATCACCAGAGAACAACAAATATTTAATTTTTGTATCTAGAATTCTAACCTAACATTTCTTTTCCAGATCAGATAGTCTAGACCAGTCTTTGATTGACTGTGTCTGATTAGCCATGCAATAAGTGGTGGTTGTAGGTCATCTTTCCTGGTCCTAAGATGCTGCACTATTTCCAGGTGATTGACATTAGTTCCGATGGTAGCTGGATTCTCACCTGCTTGGACAACGATACCGAATGGACAGATCTCAACCAAATAGTATAATAGGCTTTATTTTAAAAGATCTTTAACTTGCCCACTCTGGATTTGAGAGTTATTTTCTATCATAATGTTTCATTCAATTTAAAGTTCAGTTCTCATAATGAATGGCCATTAAGAAGGCGATGGCTCAGTACTTAAATGTTATTCCTGGTTTTCTATTTCCTATGTTCTTTTTAGCCTGATCACATTTCGGACAGAATCATGATTTTTTTAAAACTTTTGGGTTTCAAGATCCTTCTTAGTCAGATTAAAGCACCTGACATGATAGACGATGCTACATTTTGAGCAAGACATTGCTTTTATCATCACAAGTGATCGCACTATTGCAAATAGTACACTGTACCATTTATATTAAATTAATTAAATAGTACCTTTAATTGCTCATTGTTACAAACATTATCCTATCATAAAAAATGCATAGAGAATGAATTTTATTTCTGAAATAAATACTAACTATACAATAAAACAAAATACATACTTGTGAAAGGGCTACACTTAAAGCCACACCAGCAATTGTATACAAATTTCTTTCAGCATAAGCACGAACAACTTCTATGCAGCCACTAGTCCAAACCTTTTTACTGGCCTCTGCTACCTACATTAACAGACATATTACAGATTATAAATTTGAAATAATTATGGCAGAGATATGTAATTTATAAAGTAATGAAAATATTAAAACTCACAGATAATCTTTGAACTCCATATCCACACATAATATTAATAAGACCACCCTAAAATAATAAAATATATATAAGACGAGTGAAGGATTAATGGTATCTGAAAGTAATCTATACAATAGTATTTTCTTACAGCTATGTTAGTCGCATTAATGCAACAGGAATAAGGAACACCACACTGCTCTCTACTCGGTGAACTGCAATTGAAGTATTCATTCATAGACCAATCCATGTATCCTTCAGAGCTAAGACCACAGCAATGAAACTGAAATTATAAAAAAAAAAAAATAATAATAATAATATTAATTAGATAAAGAGAAATTATAATATTAACGGACAAGATTAAAGAGAATAAAAAATAATAAAAAAAAACCTAGGAAATCTAATTATAGAAAAACAAATTTTAAACAACAAATGAGCAATAATGAAATAGAATAAGTAGTTATTGCTAATGATAAAAGAATTAAAAGATGTACTTCGTATCCAGTTTAAATTACAAAATAAAATACCAATTGAAAACTTATTAAAAAAAAAATTAACAGGCTAAATTTAATAGTCAACATAATATTTAGAACCTCAATCATCAATCTTTTTAGGTGACTATGTAGTCTATTCACAATTAGTGACTTTTTCCATACTTATCAAGATTAAAATGGATTGTTCTATTAAATAATACTTTAAAACAAGCATATTACCTCTTTTTGAGCGAAATCAATGAAATTGCGGAGGTCATCGTTATCACGGTATTTATGAATAATTTTATCAGTAAATGACTCTTCAACAATAGACTGCATTGTATGAGGAAAAACAAAGCCAATAACAGCAATGGCCATTTCAAGCAGAAAGAATATTAGTAAACAAAGAGAATACTGAAAAAGAAACAACAAGAATAAAAGCAAATATTAATTAAACATAATAATAATAGCATACAATTACAATTAATTTTATTTTATTAGATGATACAGAATGAAAACTGAAAAAGAAGGAAGGCTCTGAAACATTGGTTTAATAAGTATTGTAAAGTTATGTAATGGAAACTAGTGTTTCGCTATATATGCATTGTTTTATATAAATATATATATAAAACAATGCATATATAGCGAAACACTAGTTTCCATTACATAACTTTACAATATATATATATATATATATATATATATATATATATATATATATATATATATAAAGTAAAGATAAAACCAGATAACAATAGGTATGAGAAACAATAAAGTATTTATAATAATTTATTTTTACTATTTTTTATTCGACTGATCATCCTCTTCTATTATTACAATAAGTAATGATGACAATGTTTTTTTTATTAAGTCAAAAAGCTTGAAAATAATAGATTAACTTTCTTCTTATATTTATAATTTGATTCTTGACACTCTGGCAACATTTCGGCTTATGACATAATTTTTAAGCTAATTATACTAATGATACTCATTTATGTTGTGACTAACCACTCCATTATTGGATTATGGAGACACATAATATATGTATATATATTACAAATAATTTGTTCACAGAATTCTGCCAATACTAATAAATCATATACTCTCAACAAATCCAATCAATACAAACCTCTCATTAACAAATAATATGGTTAGGAAACAATTAATATTCAAAATTATTTTATAGTTATTAATCCTTGATATCACGAAAATTAAGATTACGGTAAGTTCATGAAATTATCTCTTTAAAAAGTAGATAAATTTACTCTATCATTTGCCTTCTATAACTATATTTATTTTTAGGCCTCATACATGCTTTCATTTTAGATCTACAGATTAATTCACAAAATCATTCATTGTATATAAATTAAACAAATATCAGAAGGAATTAGTCGAGGGTGCGGTCAAAAAAAAATAAAAAAATTAAAATATATAAATAATTTTAATTTTTGCCGACGTTTTCGACCCACTTTGCAGGTCGTCTTCAGGGCTACAAAAGATACAAACATGTTGAAAAAATAAAAATAAAATAAAAAATAAATATAAGTATATATAAATTACGAAGAAGTTGTCAGATACAGAAATAAAAGATAAAGAAAATAAATACATGATAAGAAAATAGATAAAAGAAAATAAATACATGAATGTTAACGAATAAATGAATGTTAACGAATAAATTGATTGAAAATTGAATAACTATTGTTACAGTAAAGTTAAAATATGGATAAGATAACATAATAAGATATCAGTGGATAACAAGCAAGTGGAGGTTACCTTTAATTGTAAATAAACAGATAACGGGACCAAAGGTTAAGAAGTGAAGAAATTGAAAGATTAATAGGGTAACATTAGTGTAATATTGTTGGGATAGATTATTAAGTATAAATAACTCTATAAGAAAACAATAATTTTAAAAGAATACTTTAAAATGTAAGAATAAATGTAAAAACAAGGTTATGATGATAAAGAAACACAAAACAGGTTGTACTATATATAGATGACAATTGACATTTAGTTTTTTGAAAGCGGTAATGGAATGGTAGGCTGTATGAAGATAATAATAAGGTGTATAGTTGAAGGATAGGTGTGTTAAGAAAGGAATCTCAATAAAAGTCAAAACATACCGTTGGATGTGGCACTGCGGGAGGCGGTTGAAACACTGGCAGTGTCAAAAACTCAAGTTAGCAGTGTCAAAAAAAAGTTCTAGTAAAAATAAACGCATACATACATACACATACAAACACACACACACATACACACACACACAACTCCTTTCATCTACGTAATTTGTTATTATCCCTAACCATTCCCGATAATTACATTCTAGTCTCTTTCGACGTTAAAAGCCTCTTCACCAACATCCCTATAGATAAAGCCCTTCTTATAGTAGAAAATAACTGGTCATCCTTAGAGTCTCATACCTCCCTTAACCGTTCATCATTTATTGAATCCCTACAACTTTGTTGCAAATCTGGTTATCTCCAGTTCCATGGACAATTTTATAATCAAATTGCAGGATTAGCTATGGGTAATCCTCTCGCACCCGACTTATCTAACATTGTTCTTAATGATCTCCTAAACACCATAGCCCCACAGTTTCCTAATGACATATTTCTTATAAAAAAATACGTCGATGACCTTCTTCTCATCGTCAATCCTGATACTATTCCTGACATCCTTTCCGCCTTTAACTCATATCATCCCCGCCTCTCTTTTACAGTTGAATACGAAGATAACTATTCCCTCCCTTTCCTCGATCTTCTCATTAAAAGACATCCCAACAATACTTTATCCACAGACTGGTACACAAAACCAACATACTCTGGCAGATTACTCAACTACTATTCTCAACACCCCTTTCACCAAAAACTTAACGTTGCCAAAAACCTCATTCACCGATGTTTTTCTCTATCTGACCCTTACCTACATGAAACAAACACTAGACGCATACAACGGATACTATTGTCTAATAACTTCCCCTCCAACACCATTAAAAAACTTATTACTGACTACAAAACCCGCCCCTCATCCTCCATCCCTTTCTCTAGTTCTCAAAATCAGCCCCCCATTCCTTTATATAGATCTCTACCATACATCCCTTTACTTTCGGATAGAATTCAAAAATCTTTACGTTCCTCTATTCCCAACCTGCGAGTTGCTTTTAAAAACTATAACAAACTTGCCAATATTTACTCCAACCTAAAAGACCCCATCCCTCCGCAACACCGCTCTAATATCGTATACCGCATTCCTTGCTCCACCACCAATTGTAACTCCGCCTATATTGGAGAAACCAAAAACCAACTTAAAGACCGCATCAAACAACACAAATACTCAATTACTTCTAAGAACTCTACTGCTTCTAAACTCTCTGAACACGCCTTAACCTCAAACCACACATTTGACTTTGACAATACCTCCATTCTTGCCACAGTACCTAACCACGACAAAAGACTACTTACGGAAAGTGTTTTCATTCAATTAGACTACAAACCACTTAACTTAAAAACCGACAAGCAAAATCTATCACTCGCCTACTCCCAAATCATCAACATTTTAAAAAAGTCTCGATCATAAACCTCTATTTAATCTTCTCACTTCCATTTATACTTTCTTTTACTTCTCCTTTTATATATATATATATATATATATATATATATATATATATATATATATATGTGTGTGTGTGTGTGTGTGTGTGTGTGTGTGTGTGTATGATATGTGTATGTATGTATGCGTTTATTTTTACTAGAACTTTTTTTTGACACTGCTAACTAGAGTTTTTGACACTGCCAGTGTTTCAACCGCCTCCCGCAGTGCCACATCCAACGGTATGTTTTGACTTTTATTGAGATTCCTTTCTTAACACACCTATCCTTCAACTATACACCTTATTATTATCTTCATACAGCCTACCATTCCATTACCGCTTTCAAAAAACTAAATGTCAATTGTCATCTATATATAGTACAACCTGTTTTTTGTTTCTTTATCATCATAACCTTGTTTTTACATTTATTCTTACATTTTAAAGTATTCTTTTAAAATTATTGTTTTCTTATAGAGTTATTTATACTTAATAATCTATCCCAACAATATTACACTAATGTTACCCTATTAATCTTTCAATTTCTTCACTTCTTAACCTTTGGTCCCGTTATCTGTTTATTTACAATTAAAGGTAACCTCCACTTGCTTGTTATCCACTGATATCTTATTATTATGTTATCTTATCCATATTTTAACTTTACTGTAACAATAGTTATTCAATTTTCAATCAATTTATTCGTTAACATTCATTTATTCGTTAACATTCATGTATTTATTTTCTTTTATCTATTTTCTTATCATGTATTTATTTTCTTTATCTTTTATTTCTGTATCTGACAACTTCTTCGTAATTTATATATACTTATATTTATTTTTTATTTTATTTTTATTTTTTCAACATGTTTGTATCTTTTGTAGCCCTGAAGACGACCTGCAAAGTGGGTCGAAACGTCAGCAAAAATTAAAATTATTTATATATTTTAATTTTTTTATTTTTTTTGACTGCACCCTCGACTAATTCCTTCTCATATCATATCAACGGTCAACCAACTCTACATCATTATTAAACAAATATCATTGATTATTATTTATGCCCAAGCTTAGAAATAATTAAATAAGTTTTCATTAAATAATATTAGTTTTCAGAAATTATTATTAATTTTTATTTCATTACTGTTCATTACCTTCTATGAATTTATATGTTGGATATTAATTTTCTAAATATTATGTTTTTCAATGATATATTATACATTTATATCACCACTCTTATTTTCTCAAATTTTGTTCAATCTGGAAAAATATTTCTTCTGCTATTTACAAAATGCTTTCATAGTTTCTATTTAGCGATTTCTCATTAGTACTGCCCATGAGAGACAGTTAATTGTTTTATGCATACCATATTCTTTTTCTACTTCCATGGCACTACAACTAGTGTAGAGTCAGGGCCTCCTGCAACTTTAACCATCAGTCATCCTTAAGAAGTACAGCCGCCTTCCTATTGTGGACTCCAAGGACAGCTCTGATATCTGCTACCACTCCATCAGACCATATATGTTTTGGTCTGCCTACCTACCTTGTTGCATAAGGTCGCTCTTCTAATAATCTCCTCATGTGTGATCTCCAGCCATCTAGCAAGTGTGTCCAGCCCATTTTAATCTTCTTCTTCTTTCCCTAGCCCCTTTGTGGCGTTAAGCATGGAGCTGCAGTCCCAGCCCATCTTGCCTACTGGTCTCTGTCCCTGGCTAGTCTTCACATCTCAGGTATGGTGCGTCCTCTTGCTGTGCCCAGTTTTCCAATTTAATCATGGTACATATGTCTAGGCCTGCCACGAGGTCTTCTGCCTTCCGGTCTAGCTTCCATAAATCCCCTGGTCTTTCGGGTGTCGTCCATTCTGCAGATGTGACCAAACCATTTCAACTGCTTCTCTTCCAGGATGCCACCTCCAATTCCTCACGAATTCAGTCATTTCTGACACAATCCCTCTTAGTTTTGCCAGATATTCTTAGGAGGAATCTCATTTCTACTGCTGTAATTCTGACTACCTGCTATCGAGGGTTGTCCAACTTTCAGACCCATACAGAAGTACTGGGAGGAACAACGCCTTATATATCGTGAGTTTGGCCTTTCTGCTAACTTCTTGTTTGCTTCTGATTATTTTGGTTGTCTAGTAATATATTCCATTGGCCTTCGTCACCCGATTTAATACCTCCTGGTCTATTTTGCCATCTTTATTGATGATTGTCCCCAGATACGTGTATGCATTTGTTACCTCTAGGGGTTCGTTATTACTTAACATCATAAGATCCGCATTATCTTTTTTAACGCAATTAACCTTGCTCTTAGACGGGTTTATATGTAGCCCTCGTAGCTTCAATTCTTCTTCCCGCTCGACTAATGATGTCTGTAGAGCCTCTTGTCCGCTATAAGGATTATATCGTCGGCATATAACATAGCTTGAGCCAACACTGGTGTCAAATTTCAATATCCCACAACAGCCCTTGGGGTTCTTCTTTTACACACTTTCCAAATTTCATCCATGAGTAGGATAAAAATCTGGTGGACGCAACACACAACTTTCACTTACCACTCTACTTTGAATAGAAGTTATTTTCTGGCAATGTTGGGCTATTATAAAATTTTTGAAGTGCATTTTAAACGGAGCTAATGCTTAAAGCTTAAAGATAACAAACAAGTCATAAGAACATTATAATTACAAAAATTCTTTTTATTATATCGACGCTAGTCACTTCATCTGCTTTTATAAACCACACAACTTCGGTCTCTGAGCCTTTCAGTTGCATTCAGTCAACAAACTCCAATTTCAACATTTTTGAGTAATGTCATTTTAGTGATATTTCTAGTTGAAAAAGTTATCTATACAGACAGTGAGTAAGTTGATTTTAGAGTAGGTGATTGCAGTGTTGAAATATAGAACTGTAAATAAAGGTATAAATTTTCCCACTAGAAAAATCACTAAAATTAATAATAAAGAATGTTCAAATTGGGATTAGTCATTTTGTCAACAGAAAGGTTCATATATGCCTACACAGGTTTGAAAGTATATCTGAATATTTAACCTATAAATGATTATGGATTGTAGGACTGTTAGTTATTAAGCTGTTATTTTCCATTGTAATGTTTACTAAAATGAAATTACGAGATTATCATTGCCTGCCATGAATAGGTCAAAAGTTGTCGCACTAATTGTAAGTGGATAATGTTGAGATTTCACAAAGGGAAAATATGAATTTAATTTTCTAAAAGGTTACTTGGATTTTTTGTAACTAACGGCCGATATATACTTAATTATTTAAATATGATATCTTATCTAGAGTTAATACTCTATAGTAAATATATTGAGGTTATAAACATATCCATGAAATATCTTTATATTTCACTTCTCCTTGCACACAAGTACAATGAAATAGTATTTTAAACAATGGCATTGGCTTGATTCGGTGGATTTTAAATACTTTTTTTTCAATCTTAGAAAAACATTTAAAAGTCCATATATAGTAAGAAAATTTCATTTAATTTTCTTGAAAACATCTGATTTACATTAAATAATGTTAGTTTTCTGAAATTATTATTTATAATATTTTCGCCACTCTCCCTTACCTTCTACAACTTTCTATATTAAATATTGTTTTTTCTAAAATTCCCCGCTTTCCAACGATATATTATACGTATAACTTCTGACTAGTTATCCCAGAGATTCATTTTCAACCTGGATAAGCATTTTTATTTTTTTCTCCTTTATTCAATTATCAAATTCTTTCAAAAGTTATATTAAGCATTTTTTCGTAACTCTGAATAATGTGAGAAGATTAACTTTTTAAAATAAACCATATTAAAGGTACTTTAGAGGAAGACGTTTATGAACATTGGGCATTTAAGCCCTTTAAACTGACATCAATGGGGATAAGACCATATTGATATTAAAGACCACTTAATTATACAATGATACACCGAGTTTATTCAAAATCGTTAGAGCCATTTTTGAGAAAATGTGTTTCAGCGTTGATATAAAGTGGCACTTCTGGTAAGCTGATTTTAAGGGAAAATTTGCTGTCACATCTAAGACATATACCTATCTTAAATACGTAATATCAGTTTCGGACGACTTTTCATTTTTGAGCTAGACTGCTAACATACACACACACAGACCATTTTTTGAGACTTGGTTATTTGGACTTAGGATACCCCAAAACGTGTATTTCCGTTGAAAACTCAGATTCAAAAATGTTCTCGATCGTAATACTTACACTTACTATATATTACATATATAGGTAAGTGAAAGTAAAAAGCAAAGGACTAAGACTATCCCCTTGCTTTACTCCTTTATGAAAGTGGAAAGGTTCTGATCAGTATCCATTGAGCCTTACTACACCCTTTGGGTCTTGGTATATTCATTTAATAGCACTCACCAAGTTTGCAGGTACTCTTCTTCTAATTAGTGAGTCCCATATCTCTTGTCTCAGAACTGAGTCGAATGCAGCCCAAAGATCCAGAAATGCTAGATAAACCGATTTGCCATGGTCCCATGCTTTTTCCATCCCTGGGAAGTGCAGCTGCCTTCCTATTGTGGACTCCAAGGATAGCTCTGGTGTCTGCAACCACTCCATCAGACCATATAAGTTTTGGTCAGCCTGCCTGCCTTGTTGTGTAAGCTCGATCTTCTAATAATCTCCTCAAATGTGTGATCTCCAGCCATTTAGCGAGTGTGTCCAGTCCCTTTTAATCTGCTAATCCTTATTACCCAATATCAGCATCTCGATAGAGATCTTTCAGCTCTACGTTCGTGCATATTTGCTATTCCTGGTTGATATTGAAAATTGGACCAAACATTCTTCTTAACATGAGATGATCAAATTAAAGAATGGCTGCTTCTTGGAGTCCTGATATCATTGAACAATCTGAACTATATGTTAATACTGGTCTAATTAAGATTTTATATCTTCAGCTGGTTGGTTGTGCTTGAGATCACTCTAATATAATATGTAGATGAATGTATCACTATATTTTCCTTTTTTGATTTTAATATTTTTTTTTTCTTCTTCTAAGGAGTTTCTGAGATCAAAGAGATCAGAGATCAAAAATAAATGACCAACAGACGTTGATGACCCCAGGATTTTACGCCTTAAAACACAAGCACTAAACAAGGTACTATAGAAGAAAATTCATCATTTAAGCCATGTCAGACTGTTGCAACGATGATAGTACCTGCCTGCTGTTATTAAAAAAATTGTGAAAATGTCTGTAATGAAAAATCTATAATGTAAAATGCCACTTCTGGTTAGTGGATTATAGCAAAAAAATTAAAGTAACATCTCAGGCTTATATCACAAACACAGACCATTTCGTGAAACTCAATTATTTTGGAGTCATGAGACATATAAAAAATAAAATAAAAGAAGAAAATCTCGGATATAGTTTTATTAGGCCAGGGCAAATTTATATAGCACATGTTGAAACTTAAATTTTGTTTACTCTTTAAACCTTCAATACTAACAAATTAATCAAAAATACATTCATATATTTTAACAAATCATAATAAATTTATCAACTAACAAATAAATCTCCTAAGTTATGTAAATATTTTATAAGTTATGTCGGAGGGTTAGAGAAAAAACAAAAGACACTATTGTTCAAGTCATTCCACTTTGATTGGTGGGACAAGATCTCATGATCACACCATAACTAGAATCTCAAGAATGTGGCAGAGTGCACATGAGAGTGACCTAACCGTCTGGTAAGAGCTCGATCTCAACAGAAATGGACCATTTAGACATTTGCTTATCCCTTTTGAATAAGCGTAGGGAGCAGAAGTTGAATGTAGTGATATAATAAAAGCTGAATAATAATTTTAAATGAAATAGACCAGCAGTTTGTCAGGTGGTATTAAATTTAGATCTCAATAAAGGGAGGTAATTAAGTGAACCAACTGTCAACCCTCAGTTATTCATTCCGTTTAATGCATGATTATGGGATCTTGGCCCACTTGTCAAAATTGAGTGACACTTGTACAGTATTACCAAACAAACTATTAATTTAAACTTCCGCATTTCATGTGATCTTGGTACACCTGTCAATCTGACATGACACTGCTACAGATTTATCTTACTAAAGTTATTGAATTTATTTATAACTTGATAATGTTGAATAGATAAATTTAATTAAGAAAGTAAACTATAAACTAAATTAACTAAAAAGATCACTAGGACTTTTTAACAGTGATTATTATAAAGCGTAATTGAAAGAAGTTCATAAGATACTAAGTATTATAAATTTATTGAAACATACCAGTAAGATAAATGTAAATAAACTTTGTCTGAGTTTGATCATAACAATTAAATTGCATGCTCTAACATTATAAAATACTCACAAATTTCAATAAACATGTATTTTCTCTAAGTGCACCAATACAGCCTGCAAAGCTCACAATAAAAACAACGCCTCCAAAAATTATTAACACTAATGAGATATCCAAAAGTACATCATACACTGTGTTCACTCTAATCAATCCAGTACCTCTCCATTTATCATGAAATGCATAAAGACCTATACCAATCAAAAGACCACCAAACAGCTGAAATCAGAAACATGACTCACTATCTTGAAATTTGAAATAAATCCACTGATAAAAGGTTTATTACTGTTACATATTTACCCAAAATAGAAAATTAAGTAGAAATATCATATATTTCACACAGGGGCTGATATAAGTGAAATTATTTGCAGCTCTTCGTCTATTCATCTTAACAATCTCTTACGAAATTAAAGGTAACTATATTAAACTAAAACACTAACAATGGCCAAAATTATTTTATAACTAGTAAAACCATTGTATTATTGTTCATTTATTTCAAAAAGATGGTAGAAACAGGCTACACGGATTTTTAATCACAATTGAGATAGATAAAGCACTTCCTAACATTAGAATGATTAGTTCTGAACATTCACGTCAGAAGGCACTACGAGGCCACTGATATCACTATTTATTACCAACATCGAAAATAAAAATGATGGTTATGAAAAACAATCTACTATTTAAGTTTATGTCGCAAATAAATCAAAATAAAATTTAAAATTTATATTTTCTGTTTAATAATTAATTTAAAGTTATTTTCTAATACTCTACGAAATCTTATGTAGAAATGATTTGTTTTTACAGTAAATTTATATTAGCACCCTCTGTCATACAAAAAAAATAGTTTTATTAGTCAAAAAAACTAAAGATGTTGATTATACAAATTATAAATGCTCTAAATGAGTGCGTCATATAATGTTGATGGGCTTAGTTACTGTGGATCAAATAACTATGGTAACATATGAAATTTGCTTTTAACTGTAGGACGCAAGCCAATTTGAAAGAATTGAAAGCTACAATGGATCAACCAAAAAGTGATCCAGAAAATTACAAAATTCATAAAGATGATGATATGATGTGTTTAATATTCAAGCCTGGTTCTTTAAGTACTTTTCCTGTTTCAGACTTCCAAAGTCTTGGTGATCTTACGGTAAGGTATGGCATATACTTTGTTTTTTAATTATTTCAAGGTGAATGTATGCCATTTAATGATTTAATGACATATCATTGTCATTCTATTGTATATTGAATATTTTAGTATCTGGGCTTGTCAGGAAACAATTTAGAGGAAATCGGAAAAGATCTCTTTACTACTTTTCCTCTTTTAAAGTGGCTCGACTTGAGAAATAACAAACTCTCTATTTTTCCTCGGTTTGTTAATCATCAATATTTGGAGACCCTTCTTCTAGGAAGCAATAATTTAAGAAGACTGCCTATTGAATTAGGTGAGTTATTGAAAATTATATAGCAAGATTAATAAAATTGTTGTTAGAATTTTACGTTTTCTACTATTTTGATTACTATTTCAAAGTTTGAGACCCTTGATCCATCCCATCTTTCCTTTTCGAATATTTGTCAGATAATTGATATATTACTACTCTGTCAAATAATACATTTAAAGTGTATTATTTATAAAAGTGTATCTCAGTTGCTTTACTATTGAGCTTCACTAGCGAATCTAGGATTTAATAGTGGACTGAGGACTTTTTTATTTATTTTAATGATAGTAATTACTCTGGAAATATATACCCTAATGGTATGGCATTTAAGTGATCCTTACAGACAAAATAAAGGTCCATTGATTCATATCAAGTTTTATCAGTTAATATTAATAATGCTTTTTGAGATACATTTCTTTTTTTTATACACGTTTATATTTATTAGCAATTTGCTTTTTATTATTAGTAATAGTAGTAGTAAGCTGTGTATGGATTACAATTTAATAACAGATTCTGATTGCTTAAGTATGTAGCTTAGAGTTTGTGTTTTTAAATGTTCAACCTTTTGAAAATGATTGTTATTCGTCAATCAACGAACCGCAACTAAAACAATCTCCTGATATAATGTTCAGGTCATTTTTATTAATATTTTTACTATATATATATATATATATATATATATATATATATATATATATATATATATATATATATATATATATATATATATATATATATATATAACTCGCTTATGGAAAGAACAATTGAATGTAATGTTTTCATGCACGTTTCTCTTAATGAATTAGTTTTAAATTTACAACGAACATTGTTTAATTGTGATGCAAGCAACTACATGATTTTTAGAAACGTAGATTTGGAAATAATTCAATGCTCAATAAAAAAAAATTGAATTGAAAAAAGTCAAGGTTGACTACAGATATAGCCCGGTACATCCAAAGGGAATGTTCTTGCAAATATGCTCAAACACCTTAGTGTATTGTTGAAGAAATTGACGTCTAATGGTGCGTGTAGACATGTTAAGACAATAAACACAACTATCTAGCTTATTAAAAGCAATATTGTTGCTAAACCAGACTATCCTATATATTATTTCTAAAAGGTGTTTTTTTGTCGGTACGCCGTAACTTCGTCAATTCTTCATCAAATACAGTGATTGACCAATCATTTTCTCCTTGAGATGCGAAAAATAGTCCCATCCCCCCGAAATTTCAGGAAAAAAATGTTATGGAGGAAAAGAAACTTTATTTGCGAACAACTCAAAAAGTATGCATTTTTTTCTGGATTGTACCCGTGATAATTAGAAAGATTACGAAATTACCTACAAAACAAAAAAAAATTGGACAATTATTAACAAAGATACAGTCCACTAGTTTTTATATACTTAATAATGTCTTCCTATTTAAAGATATTGCATTTAGGAGTAGAATAGTCTACTACATTTCTTTTCCTGGCTTTTATATTAACTTTATTATTCCTTAAAGACATTTGGTTGTTCTTACATTTTTTTTTTAATTATTTAGAATATCCTATGATCGGGGCATTATTTTGTCTTTATTACTTTTATTATCTTTCCAATCAGCGTTTAAAAATAGGTCCTTACAAAGCAATTTGTATAAAAATTTGATCTATTATATTTAATGGAATATTGTAATCAACTAAGGAAAAAAATATTAATTCCTTCATTACATAATACATAGGAACTACTGTGTCCCTACTATTCCTACTATGGAACTATTTCCATTCTGTTTTACTATTTCTTCACTAAACAAAATTTTCTATGAATTTTTCGCACGGGCCAACTAGTTTATTTTATTTCTCTTGGTACCTACAGCAGATGTAAATTATCAAAAACAAGAAACAAAAATACTAGCTTAGTGAAATAAACATTTATATGTGTATTTGTTTGTCCCATAGCTTGTGAAATGTCTAAAAGCACATTAAGAATATTTAAACTTATTGTAGTGATCGATTGTCTTACACCTCTGAACGAAATTCTTTCGGATGTTAACATGAACGGGTACATAGTACGACATCTACTTGTCAGGAGCCATAAAGTATAGGTCACTGGACTACTGTACAAATTTTAAATATTCCTGGAAGTCATTTATCACAACAAGTTTTTTCTTTCATCATTTCTTAATGATTAATTTTACTAGGAACTTTGATGAACTTTATGTTTTTAAAATCAAAACAGTGTACATTTGATAAAACTATATTGATATTTAAAAGGCTTTGTATCGTTTTGGTGCAGTTACAGTTTTTTTTTTTTTAGTGAAAATTAAGGTCGGAGAATTCCCAAGATCGTCTTTAAAAGTTCAGCTCCTTCTTCAAATGTACTTAATGATTTTTAAAAATAAACTGATGATATATAATTACATTCGCTTAGGCTAAATATAATTATTAATACACTCTTCAATTTTTTACATTAAAATATATTTTTATTTTTACGTTTTTAGTTCTTCAAAATAAGTTACAGATTTATGAATTAAACGAAAATGGTTATAAACATTTTAGATGGCTGATTAAACAAGTTGTATACATTAATTTGCTAATGTTTTGTGTCCAAATTGTTTCAAGACTCTCATATGATCACCGCGAATAATTTGAGCCATCCAACTTTAAAATAGGTCCATTGTTCGCTCAAAAAAATTGTTACTTACTTTTTGGCGGATTGATTTAATACTTTTGAAACGAGAATTATTCGATGTTATGGACACAAATGATTTCAAAACACACTCGAAATCTAGCTAAATAATTTCATCCATCGAACTTAAAAATCGATCCAACAGTTCACTAAAAAATTATAATATTTAAACAGGTAGATTAAAGCACATTGTATGAAACAATTTGTAATTTATTCGCGATTTGAGAACACGTTGTTTTAACATTAACAGGATAATTTCAATCGCCGAACTTTATAATCGATTCAGCCTAATATATTATAACTAACACATAATCCTACTTGTATCACCGTAGTTTTGTAGTTTCCTGATTCTTTTTCTCCCCTACAGAAAAAAAAAAAAAAAAATCGCGAAATAGTCTGTGTATGAGTGCTTGCGTTCGCATGTGAATGTGAACAACCTAGTTCAAAATGATACTGAAATTCAATTCTAGCCTTAGGCAACCCTGACAATTGTCACGAGGTTCTGATCATCAGGGGGGCTCACCACTTTTTAGAAAAAAAAAATACTTATCGTATTAAAATAATTAATTTTAGTTTATTAATAAAGCCACTGTATTAGAGAAGAATACTTAAATGCACGGGCGGATCTACGGGGGGGAAGAGAGGGGAGGCTTTCGGGTTGAAGCCCCCCTCCAAAATGGAAAAATATAACCATGTTTTATGGGAAAAAAAAATTAAAAAATACCTCTTAAAGTATTATTGTTCGTGTAATTACATTTAAAAGTACTTAAGGAATAACTTAAACACCATTTCATATAGGTAGTTAGTTTCTTTCTGTTTTTCCAAAGTAATTATCGTCATTTTTATGAAAAAAAGGTTTCGGGCTGAAGCCCCCCTAAAATTAAATCCTGGATCCGCTAGTGCTTAAATGTATTAGAAAAAATACTTAACGTATTAAAATAATTAATTTTAGTCTATTAATAAAGTCACTGTATTAGAGAAGTATGGAATGAAATAAAATTCAAATATTACACTACATAAAACAGCTTAAGAAATAAATTTAATTTAATGAGGAAGGAGTTGGTCCAGGGTGGGGGTCATAAAAATACTAAAATAGTGAAAAAACCATTTTATTTCAAGCCAACGTTTCAATTTAATTTAAATATATAATTTCAGAGGTGCAGGACTTAAGGTAGGCCTGGGATGTTACATCAACTTTTTCCTCTAAATAAATATCGACGAACGGAAAGTGGCACTTTATGTATTCCAATTTACACATTTTTACAATTTGATAATAATTGGCTTCAAAAATTTTGATTAAACTAGTTATGTCATCGTAAATTCAAGTGGTCTTTAACATCAAGCAGTACTGTGCTCATTGAAATAGTCTGATAGAGCTTGATTGCTGAATTTCGAAATTTCTTTCTCTAGAGTACTTTTAATTAATAGTCATTTCACATTTGATGGGTGGGAAAAAAAAAAGATAATTTATTGTTTTAAATGATAATGTTATATCATCCATCTATAATTTTTTATGTTTACTTCTTTATATATATATAAAAAAATTTTTTACTTTAAGTAGGGTGGTAGGTGAAAGTTGAATGATGCACACTCCATACCAGATGTATGTTTGACTGAACAGCTCAGCTATAAGTTCTAAATCAAAGCACATGATGCTGGTAGATCACATGTGGATCTATGGGGAGGGCATTCAGGCTGAAGCCCTCCTTCCCCTTCAAGATGGTTAAATATAAACATGTCTTATGATAAAATATTAAAAAAATATCTCTTAAAGTATTATTAATCATGCAATTACATTTAATAGGACTTCAAAACTCACTAATACACCATTTCATACAGTTTCTTTTTTTTTTCCAAAGTAATGATCGTTAAATTTATACAAAAACATGTTTTCGGGCTGAAGCCTCTTCCCCCAAAATTAAATCCTGGATCCATAAATACGGTAGATCAAGACCAGATATTTGAGAATGAAATTCTTTCAATTATTAAAATTTCTTGTTACAAAATTTGAAGTTGCACCTACTGTACTCTCGCAGTGCGATAATTATTCATATACTGATTTTTCGTTTTACACTTTTCAGGTACCTGTATGTATATTTTCAAAAAATCTTATATGTTTCTTGTATGTATTGTATGTATATATATATATGTATTGTATGTATATATAAAGTTTTGTTATAAAAACTTTATATTTTCAGGTTCATTTATGCAGTTGAGCTCTTTACAAGCTTCAGATAATCCTCTTGAATTTCCAAATGATACTATTTTTTTGGACTCTGGCTGCGATATTATTACTTTTCTAAGATTATGTTGGCAACAAAAAACTGAAAAACCTGACTTAGCTGTCAGTAATGAAAAGAAAGTTTGTAAGTGTTGTTAATGTTTTTATTTTATTAGAATGTTTATTTTCGTACTTATATTGCTCTGCTATTTAGTTTTATTGAAATAGTTTTCTCAACTCTTGCCAATGCCAACAATTTAAGAATAAGTATTTTATAAATTTCAATACTGTGAAAGTAGAAAAATTTTTAGTAAAATAAGTTGTGTATTATTAAGTAAGGAGACATATTATCATTACATTTGAGGATTTTTAGAATATCTATCAGAACTGGCTGTATTGCTTAGTGATACTAATATCTTTAGTTCTTTATAAGTCGAATATTAATTTTGTTAACTATTATTTTTTTAATGTTCATTTAGTTTGTGTTCATTATTTACCCCAACTAAGTAAATAAATATGGAAGTGAGGAGGTGATATTTATTCAAGAAATCAGCTACAAAATAATTTTCAACTGTCATAGGCTAAATTAGAACTGGAGCCTTTTTGGATACAAGACTGCTCAGAATGTTATTTGGAGAGTAGTAAAATAAGATTTTTATTTGATTTAGTTTTTTTTTTTTTATGTCCAATCTTAAAACAAGTGTTCCCTGGTATGATTTATTGATTCTAATATTATTCGCTAAGTAGTCTGACTAAATGTCATTGTTATTCCTATCTCAATGCTAAATTTGGGTAGCTACCTAATTTTTTAAATGTTCCAAGGTCATTTATTACCAAGGATTTTTGTATATCAGGATAACATTATCTTATTTTTTGATCATTTTAAACTGTCTTATAAATAAAAAAATGCATGTTTAGAACACTTAATAATTTAAATTATCTGAGTTCCTTGTGGCTGAGTGTGAAGGCACCATTTTAGCAGTCTTGAGTCGGAAGCGGTACAAGTTTGAATCTGGCCTGGACAGCTTAAAATTTATTTCTTGGATGATTTATTGAAGACTGATGGAATTAATCTTAGCCTTCTCATCTTGGCTAGAACCGGTTGATTACCAACAGGATAACTTGTCCATCCTGCCCTAGTCAGAGTACATAAGGACATTAAATGTTTAAATTTCATGTCAATAAATTGTTTACAGATCATAATAAGGTTAAAAAAGCTGAATGCCTTCAACCAGTAAAACAATTTAGAAATGTTTCTAATGTATTGGTGGATAAAATTCATTCGAATGATCCAATTGACCAAGTGTTAGCAGAACATGTGACAAGGAAATTGAGAAATATAGAAAAACAGCTGCAAAAAATCAAGTTAGAAATTTTTGTGAGGAGTCAATTAATCGAATCTTAATTAATCTACTTTTCTCACTTTGATATTTTTTGCAGAGACAGAGAAACATTGAAATCCTGGCGAGAAAAATATATGGGGCAAGGAGTAGCTAGAAAGGAAATAGAAGATTCTGTCCCATTTGGAATAGATGAAGAATATTTAAGGATGATGACTCGTGGAGAATTGCACAATATTCGCTGCAATATGAAACCTAAAGTATTTCAAATCTTTTTCTAAAATAATATACTGAACAGTATTATTTGTTTGTTTCTTTTGTTAATAATTTTATGAATTGATACTACCATACTAGACTAGATTATGAGCACACTTGCAACATTTATTTCTGTCAAAAATTTGACAGAAATAAATGCTGATTCCTTTTTTATGTTATACTATATCTATGGCACTTGTGCACAATGTTTCAAGTGGAAAAATCATACTTATGGAAAAACTTAATTGAATGTTTGGTATTTTCACTGGTGCAAGTTCAATTTTTGAGATTTGACCCATGATTCACAAAGGAATGTTCTTTGCTGCATAACTAATAGCATAACTTAGTCCATTAGACACAAAGAATGATAGAAAACTTTCTAGTGATACCCACAAAAATTCACCAAATTTAGTCCTTACTAATACTTTTCACCGGATATTATGTAGTAATCTTTAGGTAGCTCTCTCCTAGTGGAATTCATTATTAACTAGACCTTTGATTAATGAGATAATACTTTTATCTGCTTATGTGAGATAATAATTAATGTGTTTTAATTTTTGTTTATTTCAGAAATCAATTGTTAGGAGGAAAAAAACATTATTGTGAGTATATTGCATTATTTATTATCATTTAATATGAAACATAACTTATACAATATTCTGTTTCTTTTGATTATAGAAATATAGATGAAGAACTAATAAAACTGCAAGAATCACTTGAAAAAATACGTAATCGTCAAACAAATAATGATTTTTCCCTTGATATTTCTCAAAAGATGATTGATTTAAAAGAGGTATGTATTTAGTACCAAAGTGTATGCTGACTTAATAAGTTTTTTTTTATTTTTAGCAATTAGGAAGTTGTAATCAACCATAATCCATTAATTTAATATTGACATAACTTTCTATTCTTATTTATTAATTTTTTCATAATTTACTCTAAACTGTTACAGATAAATGAGATACAGAAGAGAATAAAAGGATTGCAAATGGTCAATTAAATACTAAATGATAACCTTAAATGACTATAAACTTCTAATTATTATGCATTCTAAACTAAGAAAAACAAAATGAATTATTGATGATAGTGATTGTTTTGATGTTTCTTAAACAGAAAAATGAAATTATAATTAATACTCCCCTAACATTTGTTTCATTTATTTTTAGTTTCTAAATTTTTTACGAGGCTTGCTGTAAATACAAGATTATACAAATCTTCAATTCCCTTCATTTTTCAATAAAAATTATTTTAATTATCAAGTGACACATTATAAAAAATCTTGTGCAAACTTTTTATTATGTTAAAAGATTACAAAACCTGATGGCATTATTATTTTCAATAGAATTTATTTTATAATTCAACTACATTGCTATTAATTTTTAAAAAATTGAGAGAAGTTTATGTTTTTTAATGTTTTGTTCGAGCATACTGGTTCATTATTGAAAATAATAAACCAAAAATATTATTCTAATCTTTTGACAAAAATTATGGCATTTTCAGCTATGGTTGTAGAAAATCTCTTCACTGAAACAATATATAATTTCAACAAAGGAAAAAGTTAAATAACTGTGAAAATTATGAGTTATATGAATTTAAATATTAAAAACATAATCCAGTCTTAAAGAACTAAGAACTTTTAAATTTAAAAATTCTAATTTTAATTTTTAATTTAAAAAAAAAAAACCTGTAACCCATTAAGGGTCTTGGGTCTGTTGCTTTATAACTAAGTACTGTTTCTTGGTCATAGGATAGGCTCGGCAGTGATTTGACGAAGATTTGGCTCAACTGCCAAGCTTTTCTCCATTATTCATTAAGTAGTTAAGAGTGCCCAATTCATAGAGTCTGGGTAAGTTCCAGGAGAGTCTTGTTGCCTTAGGGCCAAGCCATGACTGTTGTAACAGAATAAATAACTATCTGCCAAAACCACACTCAAATCCGAGACCAGAATAATAGGAGTACCTTGCTCACTATTCTACTCCGCTCCCATATTTTAAAAAGTAAATTTTTTTTTTAATAGACTGGTAGGAGAGAATATTAATTTAAAGTGATAGAATTAAGAGAACATACTTTTGTTTTATTGACAGTGACATTTTTATTTTTTTATAAAATAAAATATTTCTTGATTTGAAAATATCTGGTGTGTCCACTCACATGACTTCTCTACTGACTTCAGACAAATTTAAACCACTTTAAGTATGTTGATAAAAAAAAAAAAAAAAAAAAAATTGAATTAACATTATTTTCTTGAGAAACCGACATCACCAAATGATATAGCATTAAAAAATATGTATGAATGACCAATAAGAATGACAATATGAAAGAAACTAAAAGTTATAGAGATAGATTTTTTTGGACAACTGCCTAATATTGAATTCAGCCCTGAAACCCAACCTCTTGCTGTAAAATGTATACAATAAAAATATTCTGTACAGATATTACTAAATTATTATCTAGTATATATAATGTTTTACTGAGTAAAATTTTGGAGGAAAAAAATAAAACCTTGTTGGCCGAAACTGAACCTCCTAGTCTTGGCTGCTTCTCCTCATTGGGCCTTTATATGAGATATGTGCTTGCACGATTGAACATTATGAACTGAAAACAAGCACCATGCTCCTAACTGCTTAGTTCTGAGCACTTTCATACACCCACAAACATTCTGTTTGATTTGGCACAGTACTGGTGGTTGTGAACGCTGCTAAGTATAACCGATTTTTGAATTCTACTTCTCCCTCATCTTTCAGAACTAACACAAAAGGCAAACTATGATCAGTCTTTTTATAATATTATGTTTTAATAATAATATTTTATGATAGTAAAGTGTTTCTGTTTCTATTATATTGCTCATCCTTAATGTTTTTTCTTTAGCGAAATGGAGAATCTAATCCAGCACCAACAGGAGTTTAATATATCGGGATTAATAATATTATCTTAATCTCACTTTTCACTAAAAAAAAGGTACCTCCTGATTTTTAAGATACCTGAAGATTTTTTCCAGTAAGAATAATCATCGGTTTCCTTATTCATATAAAGTACACATTTTCCCTACCCAATTTGATTTCGTCATATAGGGAAGGTCAGCTGCAATGTAGAGTATCAATATATCTTGATAAGTACTAACGTACTTAGACCTTTAGACCCTATACTTTATTGAAAGTCATTTATCTGGCCATGTTCTTCAGCTTCAGAATATCAGTAAATGTTTAATTTTTTTATCATTTTTGTCTTGCTGTCAACGTGATTTCTATTTTTCTATAAAAGAGTTATTTACAGAAGTAAATAACTCTTTCTGAGGCCTTCCTTTAGGTAAGGGTACCATATCCTTTTATTTTATAATCTTCTACACATACATCATTTTATTTCTGTCATTTTTATGGAATCATTACATACTTTTTTTTTAACCCTTGCTGAGAGTAATTCTCGAGAGCTCCAGCTGCAAGTTCCTCTCACTTGTATGTACCTTAAGATGTGCTTAATATGATATATCATAGAGGAAGAATGTATGGTCTACGATAATACTATGTACTGTAACATCTCTCTTATATTTTACAAATAATAATAATAATAATATGACCTCATGGAAGCCTAATTTATACCATTGGGATACTTCCAAATAAATAAGAGGTTATTAAATAATAAACAAAATTATAAGAGTATTAATATATTTATTTATCTCAGGTATGGGTTACTGACAATCAGATCAACTCAGACAAACTATTATTATTTACACTATTTATACTAAAATTAAACACCGATTTTATAATAAAGTCAAGTATGGATTGCTTTTTAAAGTCAAGCTAACCTTATTTCTATATACACTGCTTCTTCCTTTGTTGCACTGAGTTCATTTGTCTTCAAACACTTTCCAAAGTTCTGCCAAACACAACTTACAAAACAGTGACACTATTACTGGGTTTTATCCTCTGGGGCCAGGATCCCTTCTCCTATCACTCTTCACTGCAGCCACATAACAACTGTTTGCCAAAACAAAAACCTTTGTCCCTCTCCTCTTTGGGATTTTCCTTCTTGGGAAACTACAGAGCAGCCATGTTCTTTTCTCTGCACTAGTAGAACTAGATTAGCTTGCTTTTTAATTGTTCAACATTAATTTATTAAACCATTTTTACTCACTTCCAATAAAGGTGTATATTACATTACATATACATGCAATAATGGATCCTGGCATAGGCACAGAGTTCGAGGAGGCGAGGGAGGCAATCCAATAAAAATTGAGAGGGCATGAGAAAGTTTCGTTCCCCCAATATTTTGAATTTCAACAAATAAAAATGATTAACAATTAATCTACATGAATGAATGAAATGTGCACACTAAAATCACTTAAGAGAACAGGAAAAGTCGACTACCTGGCTAAGCTAAGGCCTGGAAGTAGGTAAGGCAAGTAATCTCCCTAGGTTCCTATTATTGAAATTTTAGTTAACATTCAAATATATTTATATATAGCAACATATCCTAGCAGTGGATCCAGTATTTAATTTTTTTTTTTGGGAAGAAAGCTTCAGCCCGAATTTTGTTTATATATATGTAACGACTATTACTTTGGAAAAAGAAGAAAGATCCTGATTACCTATATGAAATTGTGTTGTAGTGATTCTTCAAGTCCTATTTTTACACTAACAATAATACTTTTAGAGATAGCTTTTAAAATATTTTTCATGGAACATGGTTATATTTTACCATTTTGGGGGAAGGGACTTCAGCCTATGGATCCAGGATTAAATTTTTTTTGGGGGGAGGGGGGCAAGTTTTTATCGTTTTTTTTTATAATAAAAAGAAAGGAACTTTATAAAATAATGTTTACTGATCCTTGAAAGCCTGTAAAAAAAAAGAAAAAAAAAAAGAATACAAAAAGCTATGTTTACAGAAATCACAATGGTTATGAACTTTTTTCTTGAAACATCCACACATTTAGTAACTGAAATACATGCTTCATGATAGAAAAAATAGTTCATGTTTTGATTGTTAAAGTATTTAATGCAGATCATTCATAAAAACATATCTGGTTTGGTTAATGAAAGTTATGTGATGAGCCTTTCAGTGGAGAGAATGACTAACACCCCAATTTCAACATCTTTGATTATTAATTTTAGTTGTATTTCTAGTGGAAAAATCTATGCCTTTATTCACAGTTCGGTATTTTTACATGACAATCGTCTACCCTGGAATTAATTGACTTACTCACTGTCTGTACAAATATTATAAATTTTCAAACCAGAAATATCAGTTAAATGTTAAAATCAGAAATGATAAAATTAGAATTAGTCATTCTGTCAACTGAAAGGCTCAAATAATGTTGTATTATTTTAGCTAGGTCATTAGGTCATTTCAATAGAAATGTAGGATGGGGGTCAAGAAAGATAAAGATGGTGTAATATTTGGTTATTTGCTCTTAGATTTTAAGGTGTTTATAGTTTCAAGAAAGAGTATTAAGGTATTAAGATAGAGTACAAGAGGTCAGTCATTGTTCACCGATTTTCACCAAAATTTTTTGGTGATACTACATTTAAAAAATATTTTACACATGTCCCAGAGTTTGTTCTAATTGACCTTAGGAGCTACAAAAATATGCTTCCCGGCCTTTGGTAGTGGGGAAGCAAAAAAAAAAAAATATATATATATATTTTGCTTTTGTGGTTATTACATAAACTATAAACTTAAAAGTTATGAATGCTTTAGCTTTAGTTAATGGTCTAAAAAAAGAACCTCCAAGAAAAGCAAATACTAAAAATTGCAATGTAAGAATTTTAAAGGACTTTAAAATCCAACCTAGCTTTCTTTTTCATTACAATAATATAAATGATCTTTACTGGAAGAACCTTTTGGTTTTTATAATTAATGATAGTTTAAAACAATTATTTTTTCTTGTTATATAATAACATATATACTATAATAATCTATAGTATGTAATAACTTAGAAATCCAATGAAAGTAATGGCAAAAAAATTTTTTTTTAAATTACATAAAATATTTTTTTCTGGACTCCTAAAAGTACTGGAGCCAGTGACAAAAAAGGTGTCATATTTCATACAAAGGATTCTTCTTAAAAATTGACCATATCCACACTTCTGATGTGAAAAATGCAGGTCAGCCAGCCTATAGCTGCTGGAATAAAAAATGGCTGTCATGTGAAGATAGATAGAGATCCTACATAAGT